GCCTAAAGGACTGATCTCCTTTGGGCTCAGCTCTGCTATGTGAATATAAATTCTCTTTCTTTGATTGTGAGAGACTCCAGATCAGGCAAGGAATGTATTTTTACAGTAAGGGTGGTGAGGCACTGGCACAGGTAGCCCAGAGATGCAGTGGATGCCCCAGCTCTGGCGACACTCAAGGTCAGGGTGGACAGGGCTCTGATGGAGCTGTGGCTGTCCCTGTTCACTGCAGGGGAGTTGGACTAGATGACCTTTAAGGGTCCCTTCCAACTCAAATAATTCTATGATCCTATGATTCTGTTTTGCAGTATCTCTGTAGTTCCAGTTTAATATGACTGCCCACTTGCCTTTAACTGCTGCAGTGCAAGATTTAACAGCAATAAACATTTAAAAGTCACTTTGTCTCTATGATTGGTAAAGCGACCCTGTTTTATGGGCAAAAAAAAAAAAAGCTCTGAGATGTGGCTACAACCCCACAAAGAAACCTGCTTATGCAAAGTCACACTGGGAACCTCTTTCATGTAGTTTCAAGTATCAAGCCTTTAATATTTGAAAATACACAATAAACATACAACAGGGATCATTGAGTATAGAGGTTAATAAAAATACAGCCTGGCATTAACATTAAAAAGGCTCTAATTTTTTTCTTAGCAGGTAATTAGTTCACACAAAGGAATCTCCTTTCTTATCCTGGAAACGCATGCATAAAACAGCTCAGATAACATCATTTACATATAGGCTGCTGCACACGCATGTTAATGCCTGGCTGTGAAAAGTTCAGACAAGTTTGTAATCCCAGATTTCCTGCGCGTGCTCAGCACCCAGATTCCCAGAGAGGCCGAGGCGCGGGACACCCCGTGTTGCTGAGATGGCAGCCCAGTGGCCTGGGCTGCATCTGGGCCTGCGAGCTGCACACTTTCCCAGGGCGTGAGACATCGGACAGTTCTGGGCATTTTTTAGCACGCCGGGCTCTTTAGACACATATTGGTATTTGTGTGTTGCAGTTTCATTTGTCAGTCACTTCTGCTTGTGGCGGTGGCTCTAAGCCTATTGTGCCACCTCCGCTTGCTTTTTCAGGGCTACTATGTCACTCACTATTAGAACCAATCTGCTTTTGCATTTTAACACTATCATGTCACCCATCAGCAATCATTCGCTTTCATCCCCTAAAACTCGTACACAATGGCAGCCACGCCACTGGGACAAAAGCGGAGGCAGTGAGGAAAAAGGAGGAAAAAAAAGGAGGAAAGCCAGAGCGGGAAGGCTGCAGCAGCAGCTGCTCTGTTCTTTGGGGTCCTTCAGCGTGTACTTGAACTTGGACTGCAGTGGATGTGCCTTTCGTCTTCTGTTTCCCTCATTAGCACAACGTAGCTCTGGTGATGGAAATAAGCACGGACTGCTTCTGTGTGAAAGCCAACAGGTAGCAGCGCTGCTTTTGTGCCACAAGTCTGTGCCTACTGAAAGCTGCAGGAAAAAGGGAGGGCTGTGTGAGGGACAGCCTTGTGCTGCAGTAATATTGATTGCTTGCAGCATTCTTCAAAACAAGAACCCAGCTAGCTGGGCACTTTTAAAACCAGCAGGATGCACCCCTACTGCTGTTGAAGGAGGGAGTCTGGAAGCCTGATAGCTGCGTTCAGACAAAGATGCAGTTACAGCACTGGAGGGTTTGGGAACCGTCTGTCAAGTGCGGAGCGCTCAGGATTTATCTCGGATTTGCACGTGTATATAGTCACCCTCCCAATAGTTTGTTGTTATCAGCTGTACAGAGATCTCAGACTTCTCTGACTGCCTGTAATTAGTTGCCTGAAAATGAAGAAGGTGGAGGGTTCTGCTCGAACGTGAAATAACTGAAGTGCTTTAGCCTGGAACCAGACTCAACTGGGAAAGATGTATGATAATTCATGCAGAGCACTCCTCTGAAACAGGCATGGCTCAAAGCGAGGCTTTGGACTCCCACCTTTTACAAACATGACCTTACTGCATTTCTCAGGGGCCGTAAGATTTTAATGAGGTAAAAATGACCAAAATGTCACGACCTCTGGTCTTCCTTGTCCTAAATTCTCGATAGTTAATGAAATGAAGCTCAGCTACGTTGTGTTTTGCTGATTACACAGAGTGGAACAGCTTTAAGATCATGAAAGAAAAGGTTTAAATAAAATTCTGTGAGCTCAGAGTAATTTTCCCCCTGTACACCAAAAGAATCAGATTATATAAGCAAGGAGTATCTAAGCAATTGGAGTTCTTTCACTGACACAATTTGCTCAACAGTTGAGGCCAATTCTTCAGTAACTGCCCCCTTGCAAACACCAGTCAGAATCCCATTTGCTATCCTGGCATTTTCCATTTATTACAGTACTTATTTTTTGTAGGCATGATAGCACCAGGAGTTTCAAAACTGTACTGATAAAAAAAAACCAGCCAAATATTTTTTTAAAGGAGCTTCAGATCAAACACTTGCAGCTTTCCAAGCCATCTCCTAGCTCAAGAAAGACCATTCAGGCAGTTCTCACTCACACACAAGTTTGCGTTTAGTGCTGCACCAGCCCCTGCATGAGCAAAGTCTCTGAGACAGCCCTCAGGCAAGAAATGAAACACAAAAATCATCAGTCAGAAACATTAGAGGACATTCATCAGAAAGTTCAGCTGTTTTTCCTTTTTTCCCCCTGTCTAGATAAGATCTTTACAGTGCTTAAAAAGAGAAATAGCCACTAATGACTCTTTCCAGAACTGCTGGGTAAGCATGAAAATATTAAAAAAATAATTTATCTTAAGAGCTAAAACATCTGAAACAGCTTCCTCGCTCGTTCTTGGGATTTTACCAAGAAGAAAGCTGCACAACACAGAGTGGTCCGCTGCGTGTGCAGTCGGTGTAAAGCCTGAGCAGAAATTCCTATTTAATTGCAACATCGTTGAGCGTTGCTGAATTTCGCAGCTTTTTCTTTTGCAATCACTTTGAAATGTTCTCTTGTCAGTCAACGGGAGTTTTCTGAAATTTCTAGTTGTTTGTACCTACTAATCACACCTACTCATTATTTGATTGTTAGCAGTGTGACTGGCACTTTAAAAAACGTATTTTCTTTCTCCTAAGCAGAATCTATTTCCTAGAAGAGATACTCTTATGCAAGTTCCTTAGAAATGTGAGGAGACACACACGATACGTTTTGAGCCTTCAGTGTACAAACCACTGAAACTTTTGGGCAATTTCACAAAGGAAACTGGTGACCTGAGTTTAGTTGTCCCTGTGCTTCTGTAGGGACAGCTGCTGTATGGACAAGGCATTTTTTTTCCATACAAGAAAGCATTTTACGCATTAGGCTGAAGGAGTACATCTAAAACTGCCAAACAGGGTTCTGCAGTCACTTGACTGATTCATGAAAACCAATAGATGAAAGGTGGTATTTTTTGGAAGTTTTCACCAGCTAATCTCTAAGTCAGGAGTAAATTTTGCTTCTTCAATGTATAAAGTTGAATCTGCAGGGCCTGCATTTTTTTTTAATACTTTTTTTTCTTTTAAACCCCACTGATTTCACCTTCAAAAGAGGAAGAGAGTGTTTCCATTTTTAGTCTGAAATTCTTTGAAGTATTCCTGTTCCATTGAATAGGGGATCTGGATAGAATTTGACAAAAAAATCAATTCCTTATTTTAGGTTTGGATTCAGCAATAAAGAAGTTAATGAGATCACATCTGTTTTTGTCCTGTTGTTCTCTACAGCAGTCCACTGAAAACGGCACCACTTGCCCATAGCTTTTTCTTTTATACCAAACAGACCAACCCAGACTAAACAGTGTCTTTTAACACATCCATAGCAAGACCACGACATGAATCCATTGATCACCAGCTGCTGTGGTGATGTCATTTACCCGTAGCTACAATTACGAGTTGCCTGCAGTTTCACAACAACAGCCAGCTGATGGACTTAGGCAAACTTTAAAAACATTTTCTTTGGCATAGGACGCAGTGGAGAAACATCTCCAAAAACTACCAAGAGCTTCATTCTCTAAGTAACATTTGAATATCGACGCATCTGGAACAGCTGGGTAAAAAGTTGTGCATGTCAAGTTCAGAAAACAGCTGCTTTTAGCCTTCGCTTTGGGCCAGACATTTGCTTTCCAACACCAGAGTATATTCTATTTTATTTTGTAGCAGCTTCTTCAGCGTTCCCATATGGACAAGCTGAGCAGCTCCAAGGATTACAACTGCAAGTATATGTATGCCATTCTTTAGTAGAAATGAAGGCCAGATGTTGCTTTGTCATCTTCACATGCATCTTTAAAAAAGTTAAATGAAGTTGTTTCAGATATACAATTAATGCCAGGTACAGGCAATTTGCTCGTAGGTCGTTTAAAAGTCAACTTCCAAAAGATGGAAAATAACATTTTAACTGAGAATTCACACCCTAGAATAACTTCAGGAAATAAATACAGCAGAATCCAGGATCACAGAGACAAAAATATATTGTGCAGAAAAGACATGGTGGCCCATTTCTGAGATCTGAATGAGCACTATTAATGCTTTTATTAGGAAAGAATTGACCTTATTTTTAAAGTACAATGTGAAGTTCGATATCAAAGCTATCAAAGCCGCCATGAATAAAAACCTTCCACTCTGCTGCTCTGCTCTCCCAGCATATAACCTGACCCATCCGTCCAAATACTGGAGAATTCAATACATCTATAGCTAGCAGTGTAACGCACAAAAATTCTTCGTGTGCACACTCCTGGTTTCTACACCTCATGGATCCAACAGGGTTGGCAATGATTCCTTCCCAGACTGCCCAACTAAAGTGATTTAGATAAAAACAAACTGCTTTTCTTTCTTTTTTTTTTCCTGATTTCATGAAAATTGGATATTGTATTTGTTTTACGACAGACAGAACTATGAACTGAAGATGACTTCTCCCCTCTCAGTAACAGTACATACAAACTTAGGGCTTCAACTGCCTGCTGGAGCCTTGTTCTGTGAGACAGTCCACGACATACAAAAACTGCCAAGACACCAACCATAACTTTTTTGAGTTATGTCACTTTATTGAGGGAGCGAAAAGAATCACATTCTCTAGTAGTCTTGGAACAGTGCAAATGGTGAACAGAAGACAAAAATAGATGTAATTGGTTCCGAAAAGCATGAACATCTGTAGAGAATGTGTTGCATTATTCCTAAGGACTCTTGCTTTTGAAAAAAAGTACATGTTCTGTATATACAAGTGTCAGTGCAATAGCCAGTAAAGCAATCGATCAGAAATATAAAAATATCCTAGATACAAACTTAAAATAGACGCTTGAAAGCTGACAGTACCAGTATTCTGATATTTCTGTATCTCAGAGTATGACCACCGGGATGAGTTATTCTGATGAGGTAAAAGACAGTAAATGCTCTGTGAGAACACAGAGCCATTAGTTCTTTTCCATAAGACAAAAAGATAGAGCACCCAATGAAATAGCAAGTCTTCGCTGCAAGTGCCCACAGGAGGTGAAATTACAGTCTGTGAGCATGACTGCATTCCTGCACCATTCACATTTTGCCATCTTTGTCAACAGTCACACCAGCAAAACTTGCAAATTCTCCCATGCCCCCCCAAGTTCAGCATAAACTGCACATACTGTGCAGACACACCAAACTGACAGCTGCTTCAAACACAGACAAGATCTACAAATGTCCAAAAACCACTTAGTCATTCTTTCCTTTATTGGTTGCAAATCTTTTTTTTGGCAGCAAGGACAGAAAGAGATTGCAAAGCTTGACAGCTGAACAGCTCTCTGTGTAAGAGTTAGGGAGGGACCAGGGTGTGTTGTATTTGTTTTGCCCCAGGTGTTCCAGTGATGCCGCTGAACTTAAATCTCAGCTGGCCGAGCTATAAAAATCACATTCCTCCTGTTTGCTCTGCATTTTGGATGGAAGGATGTGCTAATCTGGGGCTCTCGTTCCAAAAAAAGAGGAAGGGCTACTTGGTCAGACTTTAAGCTGCGTGCTGTCTGCCTGCATCATGATTCATCTCTTTTCCCTCTGCCACCTCTTTCGCTATGACCCTCCAAGCTCCACTGCTAATTTCTGCCTCCCAGTTCTCTGCTTTTCAAAGAAAAAGGCAGGGCAATAGGTAGAAAGTGTGCTCTGTGTCTCTGTGACAGAAAGAACTGAGAGCAGAGCTGGGAGAGGCAGAAATGTACAGTGAACACAATCTCCTTCTCAAGGTGGTAATGATAAGGAGTTAATTTCAAACCATGTGTCAATCTCAGGCACTCCTCTTTGGAAAAGCACACCAAATTATATATTCTCTGGTACCTTAAGATTAACTTGAATGGGCTATGATTTGTGTGATAAAAAGAGCACAATGAGAGCTGGCAGTCGCCTTCTTAAGAAACTTTCCTTCCTACTTATGGCACGCACATGCACCAAAGCACACAGTGGTTGCCTGAATCTTTAAAAGGTTTCTTAGCTTTACATCTTAGATTCAAAAGCTTGCCCTTTAAATCATTTCATTTTTCATCATTCTTTTCTAAACCTCTCGTCTCAGGCAAATTCAGACAGCTGCGTAAGAAGGAGAAGTGAAGCCAGCAACATCTGCAGGATGATGACACTTGACAAATGGCCTTGGGTTTTCTTTCGGTTTCTGGAAGATGCTTTGCAGATGTCAAAGCCTCAAGGAATCATCATACATCTCTCCTTAACCCCACTGAATGTGGCATTCGACGTTTCCAAATATTGAGTTACTACTTGCCACACCACAGCATGGCAGGCCATTCCGTCTCAAATAAACAGGCAGGAAATGGAGGCACACAGAATGACTAAGTGATTATTCCAACATCACGATACAAGCCCGGAGAGTCAGGAGCTGAACCTGTATTTCTTGCATCTCGATCTCACGTTGTCTTTTTGTTGTGTGTTGCAGCCTTATTCTTTCCTGGAGAGGAAGACTGGAATCTTAAAGAGTCTGTCATGCTACTCTGGTTGACAGGTGGTGTCGCCAATGCGATAAGATTGTTGCACTCCCCACATCAAAAGGTGGAATATGCTGTATGACATCTGCTTGCTGGAAGAAACACTAACCATACCAGTCCTTAAGAACATCAACATTTATTTATTATGATATAAAAGAAATGGGATATGAACATTCTTATCTGAACAATAAGTGGCTTCTTTACTTACATCGCATGTGCTCATTGTATAATATATATACAATGAACATAATTACATCTGTACACAAACTAAGTACTGGATTGAGAACCTGCTTATTGCTGTACACACTCTAACCCAACAAAGGAAAAGCCCAGTACCTCAAAATACCTACACTCCATTTTATTTAAGTAAAAGTAAGCACTGACATTAAAGTATATGTTGACAGAAGTGTGGCAGTAACTGCTGACATTGCAACCTGACCAAGAAATAATTACAGCAGAAACAGGACATCTTTTACTAAGCAATAATAAAAATGGCACATTTTAAATATATCTATATGTATATATATATATAAAATTTTTTACAAATAAAATGTCAAAACAATAAATTGTAGTGTTTAAAAAGTGTAAAACAGGGTTTTAGTGGTGATATGTAAAATTAACTGAGTTATGCGTCTAAAAGAAGCCAAAAAGTAAACTTATGTGATCCATACGTAAAAGAACATTAAATTCTGGAAAATAAAGTCCTGACTATAGACTGCACACTGAGAAGAGCCTTTATTTTATGTGCACAGAAATCATAGCAGCAAGCTGGTATCAGGAGAACGATCTGAAGGTTGTTGAGTGTACATATGGGCCATTTAAAGCTCTCTTGGAATAAACATTTTCCAGGAAGTGATAAAATGATGCTCTGTGGCCAAAAGCATCAGAACTATGAATTTCATAGATTTAAAATATACTGTACAATATCTTCTCACATTTCCGTAGGTCGGGTCCATACATCTCAGGCATGAATTGTTTCAACAGAAGCCATTAGAGCTGGAAGACAGACACAGGTTAGGTTACCGTATTTTAGCAACAACAGAATATTGTATAACACAACTCCTGGGACTAAATGCAGCACGGAATGTCTGACCTCATCCTAGCAGCAGTTATCACTGATGTAGAACATAATAGAGTATCTCAGAAATAAGTGGTTTCCAAAATCAGCTTTTCAGAAAGTTCACTGTCAGCAAGAAGCAAAAGTAAACTTTTTTCAACTTTACACAACTAGGAAAATGTCTTTGTCCTGAGATTTTTATCTTGTTGACGTGGCCAGCTCCAAATGTTTTCTATGTAGAACCAGGGACAGTGGCAAAGGCCCTCCCTGCTTTGACAAATGCCAGGTGCTGTTTGCAGCAGGACACAGCGCTGTCCCTGCATGAGGCCGTGCTGCAGCATCACTATGAGTGTGCTGAAGTTGCTGTGCTCAGCCCCGAGCTTGCTGCCTCTTGGTTAATGCTGAAAGGATTTCTATAAATAGCTGTTAGCAGTTCGTTGGTAAAAGTGTTTCGGAGCTTCAGATCCTGGTGCTGCTAAAATTTCATTATCCCTCCACTACTCTGCTTGAATGCAATGCTTATAATGTAACAATGTCAGAGCTACGTATCCAGAATGTGCCTTTGCAAAATAGGGCTGTAACAAAGAAAGTAGCTTAGTGCTAATGGGTTTTCCTTAGTCCCAGAATATCCTATGCCACCAATTTCCTACGCCAAATTCTCCTGGCCCTGTGCCCAGAGTATCGTTTTACTAATTGACCAAGCAAGCCAAATATAGGTATTACCTCACGATACTCTGAGATCTACCATACATTTTCCAGATGCCACATAAGAACAGGACTGATGCTGCAGCCCTCTAGTATCCAGGATTTCTTGCATTTGAGAGACACCCAGCTCCTGCATGTATCTTTTACCATTCCAAAACACCAGAGTGGCAGCACAGAGAGGAAGGGGCAGAAACTACTGCAGGCAGGCAGAGCACTCTCCTTACATCTATGTACACAAGGCCCAGCTCAAGGCACAAATTGGCTCTGGAACACTTGACTAGCAGAGGTAACAAGTGCACCAAAGAAAGGCAGAGCATATATGCACACAGTTGAATAGTTTTTTCAACTCAATTCAAACATTAAACAGCCCCAAAGGGTATAATTTATTTTACTTTGTTATGGTGGTGCATATATGAGCAGAGCAATAGCTTTACAACCAGCAGCCCAGATGCGCTGTTTTGCCATAAGCATAACAATACAATTCTAAGTGTTGCAGCATCATTCTTAAGATGGAAGTGTTGTAGCTGCATACTTACTACCTGCGAGGTTACAACACGCTGTGGGGTGTCAGGGGTTAGTTGTTCCATTACAAAGCAGGTCACTATGTGAGCACTTCACTTTGGCTACTCTCGTGTTCAGCATTAATAATTAAAATGACTTTGCTGAACTGATCGCTGGGGCTGATGACAAGGGGTAAAAGTAACTTAATGCAACTGATTAAAAAAAAAAAAAAAGCAAAACAAAAAAACTCTGGTGAAACTGCAGGTTGCCTCCCCTGTCAAGGCATCTGTGGTGTGGCTACAGAAGGAATTCAGCAGTGTGGTTTCAATCACATCACTGCCCTGAAAGTTTGCCCTATTTCAAAACACATAAATGTTCAAACATCATGAATGCATCAGCATGTATACAGTGAAATTAAAATCTTTAACACAGGCTTCCAGAAAAAAAAAAATTAATAGTGCCACTTATTTTTAAATGATTTCATAACAACACTTTTAAGTGAAAGTACAAGAGTCCAAACTAAATTTCGTAACGATGGGCTGCATACAGGAGAAAGTGAGCAACACTGGTGTTGGTACTGAATACAATCTTTTTATGCCGATTCCTGCTCTTAATTCATGCAGGATAAAGTGTTTATGTTGATTGATGTCTAATTTTACTAAAATGAAAGCTTGGTGATACAGGGCAATAAATAAGAAAATGCATCTTCAGATCTCTCAATGCTGAAAGACTGAAAAGTCTCAAATATAAGATTTCCTTACATTTAATTTATGGCATTAACTATGGCTTTCGAGATGATCATTGAAGCCAAACTCATTCCTTTAGCAGAAAGCCTACTTAAACAGATACTTCCTGACAACAAAGAGATGTTGATCATTTTAAATGCTGGCAAAGTGCAGCAGCACTCAGGTAGGTATCATACTGGTTTCCTTAAACACCTGTACAAACAATTATGCTTTCTTGTATGTTCAACTCCATTTATTGAGTCAGTAACACTGCAGGTAAGAACATGTAAATCTAGCCAAACTCATGCTTTCTAACTTCCTTGAAATCAGCTAAGACAGGGAAGAATACTGAGTAGGATTATCCCTATAGAAATAAAACCCACAACAGAACTGTTACATTTCATTCACCCTCATTTTTTTTCTTTTCTGTTTGTCATGCCTCACTCATCCATATCTTAAGCCATAAACTCTTTGGAGTATTAGACCATTCCCTTCAGTGCATCACTAAGAAATCTCACTTCAGCTGCCCACATGGAAGCAGCAAGATTCATTTGCACCTGAGCACTAATGCAGGTAGCTTAAATGCCTATCTGCTCTTTAACAGCCTAGGTTTGCATGTAATTCAAAGGGCTGTTATCCTGCCACCTGTGGCAAAACAAGCCAATTAGTCCTTTGTATTTGAGTAGTGAACACATGACTTGCAAACAAGTCAATATGGGTACTTGTTTCGTTTTCCAGTTAGTTTATACTCAACGTAGTAGATATCTTTGTCTTGCCAAGTACTGTCCACAGATGTTTCTCAAAGATACCTGCAGTACATACACTCAGAACGGTATTAGAAAAATGACAGGAGGGGTGGGAAAAAAGACGTACTTCTCTGTAACTATACACACATGAAATGTGATCCTTCTGTGAGCTGTGGTTGTGTAGATGAAGCTGGTGACAATGACGATTCTGGTGAAGAAGGCAAACTTTTCACTGCGAGTCATACAGCAAGATAAACAAGAAAACAAGTTACACAAGGCAAAGGCTTACATAGTAAACATAAGCTTGAAAATCACCATTTCAAGCCACAATCAATATAAGCAGAACCAAATGAAAGTTACACAAGTTAAGACTTAAAATCTGATCAGCACAGTGAGCACAACTTCAGGGGACAGCGTAGCTGTTGTCAGCAAGGGTCATTTCTTTCAAGAAACAAAACATCTCAGAAAAGACTCAAGCCTATACACAACTAGTAGATCATCTCAGGAACAAAGAACAGACACACGAATACTAACATGTTATGTCAGAGGAAAAAATACGTACAATTTAACTAGCTGGAATACTTTCAGAACCATCTTTATATCCCAGCTCAGGTTAACTATTTGTTATTCTGCTTGGTGCTACAGAGCGCATTTACAAGTTCCAGTTTTGATTACCAAGTCACAGGAAAAAACTGCTGACTGCTTTGCAAGGTTCAGGTCACCTTTTACATCCATAGATCGAAGTATCTGGCTTACATAACCACTCCCATTACTGAATATCCTAATTATATCTTAAATTCTATAATCAACTTCCTCCTCGCCCATTTGCTCCCCTCTTCTTTTCCTCTTTGCACAAAGTTTTGCTTTTTTCCACCTTTTTGTTCTTGCAAAGTACACCGCGGGTCTTTGTACCAATCAGCTAATGTCTTCAGCTGTTCCTGCATCTGAAATCACGACCAAATTGTGGTTCACAGTTCAAAACTCGAGGCTGTCCATCAGCCAGGAGATCAAATAGTTCATACATACCTGGGATTGAGATACTGTTCCACAAGATAAAGAGGGAAGGATTTGCTCCAACCAATAACTACAAGATGACTTAATTTTTGGCTAAAGTCAAATAATTCCCTGAAATAAATGCTACCACAATATCTACATTGAATCCTCAGAAAAATGGAATTTCTGTAGCTACCCAGCAGGAAACTACTTTTCTCTATGTTGTAAAAACCTATACTTAATATTCAGACCAGCTCAGCGCTTCTCAAATCACAAGGGTTTTTGAGCATCAAAAGACATCATCACAATGAAATGAAGTTTTTATGTGTCCCGTGTAACTTTTGTTTTAGTCAAACTCTTTTCCATACCTGCTGTTGCCTGATTTCCTTTTGAAGACTGTGCTGCTAATTCAAATGAAGCAATAATTCCTTTTTGCTCTTGAACACTAGCTGCTTCACTTTCTTCTGAACCGGTTTTGGGTTTGTGGTTTGAAACTGTGGTCACACTCTGCAAGCTGACGGAAAAAAAACCACGGCTTTTAGAACTCACTAACTTAATTTCAAGTGCTAGCCACTAAGTATAGGAGTCACAATTTAATTTTCTTTTGTTAATAGACAAAGTTGCAACTGGTGAGTTTGTGTAATAGAAGTTAAATACGTATTTTCAAACCCTTCTACCACATAAAGTTAGACGTAAAAAAAAACATATGCTAGAAACTGAGTTCTTTTCCTTAGCATATTCATACAGGTTCCTGCTGTGTGATACCTATTTTGATGAAGTATGCTGTGAGAAAGTTATGGTCTAATATAAGAACTCAGGATCGACTGTGAAACTGTAGAATCTGCACAGCTTACAATAAAGTTAGGAATCATTAAAGAGAAATATCTGATATACAGTCTTTGTCTAATTCTGCAATACTCCCAAACTGTCAAATAAAGGCCAAAAGGTATAAAGTAAACTGTTGAATCTGTCTGCAAATGCAATGCTTTCATAAACGCCAGTGTTAAAGAGCTTGCGATAGAAGCCCTGGCTGAAGGTTTCATATTAAACTGATAGAGCTTGGACTGACACTACTAAGCACATTTTGTAACACAGAGCCAGAATCATGAACATATCTGTAACTTGGGCAGTACCTGGGAATCAACATCACCCCTCGTACCAACTCATTACCTCTTACAGAACTCCTGCAAGTTTCTCACTGGATTTCTCTGTATGTGAACCACTTCAAAACATACAAGTATACCTCAGAAGTATTATGACAGTATTTCATTAGTTGCTTGGTACGTTCAACTAATAAATACAACATGCAAGTTTAAAATAGTCTTTGAACATCTTGTTTTATTTTTACCTTATATCACCATCATGTGTTTCTTCCACTTTATTATTCTTTTCCTTTTCTGCTTTCTCTTCATTATTCACTTCTTTTGAGTCAGATACAACATGTGTATCTGATAAAAAATCATCAGTTTTTGTCAGCTATAAAAAAATTGAAATCATGAAACAAAAAAGCAGTAACACCCACTAAGTGGTAGATAAGAAATAAAGTATCAGGAAACAGTTTTATTAACAGACAAATTTTGCCATCATGTATACTTAGTAACTTAGAATTACATAACTTAAGAAATTTTTATCAATGCCATTCAGGTTAATAGAGTTATCCTGAAACTCAGACCAGAGCCAATGGGTAGGGCTCGTCTTAATTACTTCCAGAACTCTTTGGACTGCAGCCTGCCTAGGTTTTGTATGCTATCCCTCTCTGCACAGTGCCAAAGATTCCAGCAACTGCAGTATTTGAGCAACGAGCTTGAATATTGCTCTTAAAGGTTTGATTAGCTAGGACCAATATTAGCATATTATGAAATACTCCTTTAAGGGGTTTGCATACTTAACACAAAGCAACTCTCAACAGAAAGTGTTCTAGAAGAATAACAAATGCTAGCTATTTGATTTTATAACATTCTAAAAAACAAACAAACAAAAACAAGCAAACAAACCAAATATAAAATAGGAAAGAGAAAGGAAAAAGGAGTGGGAAAATAAAAGCAACAGGAGATTAATGAAAGAATACATAGTGAAAAAGAAAAAAAAGTGCACACAAGATTTTAAAAATATGACACTCCAAGGAGGATATGATTACGTGGAAACAATTCTAGTAATCTGTTCTCCACAGTCAGTCTGCTTTTGCTGAGTCCTTAGGGCACTTTGCTACCAGAAATACAGAGGTAACTCACTGCTAATGGAGCCTGAGATGATATCGAGACAGAAATCAATCTGATGGCCAAACAGCACAGACTACAGTTGTGCCTACTTCTACGTATGAGTTGCTGCATCAGCCTTATGCTCTGTCCTGCACAGTGTTTGATGCACTAAAGCCAACCATGGAAAAAAGTCAGGTGTATAAAATGACCATCAAAAACCACACAGATCAATGATTATTAAAGATGCATCAGCACTGGGTTTGTTTCCAAACCCAAAGAAATAAAGATCAGATATGTTTTTAATTTTCTGGTCAATCAAGACAATAAAAGAAAATTAATGTGAAATGAAGTAAAGTTAAGAGGAAATTAGAACAAAATTTAAGAAGACTGTATATACATATAAGCAAATTCAATCTCTAGGCAACCGACTGATCTGATACCATTTTGCACTACTACATTTTTAAAATACAAAAATATATGTTAATCTTCCAAGAAAAAGGAATTTTGCTTGGCTTCCCATACCCTGCTGTCTGTGGTTAAAAATACTTTTCTACTGCAAGATAGGGTGATGAGCAATGCAGTTAAGGAGAGTTCAGTACCTCTTTTGTAAAACCTGAATTATGTTCTTGTTCTCCATCATGTTTTACTTGCACTATTTCTTCTTCAGGACTTTCATTTTTTTGTTTCAAATTATTATCTTTAGTGGTGCTCTCTAATTCCTTTATGTGACTAGATACACTTTCATCCTTTTTGCGATTCTGCAGAACAAAATGGATATAGAGACATTTGTTCTAAAAACAGTTATTACAGCGTCAGGTCCAAGTCTTGTGTTGTGCTAAGAAGGCTGTCTGAAAAACTAAAGCATCTTAACTCAAAACAGTTTTTTACGTGACATTCCATTGCTAAGCATTGAAGCATTGAACATCACAGTTCAATAACGATAATGCTGGCTTTTTTCTTTTTCTTTTTAAGAAAAAACTTGGAATTTTCTCATTATTATGCCTTTCAAAACAGTTGAACCTAGCTGCTTTTTTACTTTTCAAGATTAATCTCCTTTTCCACCTGCAAAAATCTCTAGCATTTCTATCCTCTGAAATTCCATTCATATAAAAATCTGCTGCCAATGCAAAATCAGCTGCACACCTATGTGCACTCTGCCAAGTATCTCAGGTATCTTCCAAGCCTTTGCTGGTAACTGATTTAACAGAGGTCAACATAATATCTGATAATGGCAGAGTATAAGCAAAAGACACTAAGAACTCCGTATCAGTTATTCCTTAAAATGTCTACTGTACATAGAATATGTTTGATATAAACATTTTGAGGAAGGGTGGTGGAACTGACTTAAGATTCTGAACTCTGAACATTATGTTGGCAAAGAGTGAATCCAACAGAACTGAAGTTCCTATGTGTTGCAACACACTAAGTACTAGGGTGGAGAAAAATAGGATCCAGGAAAGTAGTAAATCTTCTGGCTGAATTCCTGTCTGATTTAGCACATGCATGTTGAAAAGGGGAAATTCTATTAAAGTCAGTCTACAAATCAATCTCTCTGCTTTCTTAAACAAAATATGCACCCATATCTTACACTTGCCCCAAACAATAACACTTGTTAGACAACTTCCTTTACTATTTTGGTAATCACTTAAAAATTACATAGTGGGCTGTTCATAAAATCCTTTTATCTTTCCTTTCTTCACACGCAAAAAAAAAAAAAAAAAAGAAAAAATAAAACAACTGAACAGATTTCCAGCAGTTAAATGTCACTGCGTCACTTTTCTGTATGAAATCAACAGGCATGGAAAAATTTCTTTTCTCACCCATGTAGCTCAGAGGACTGGAGAACATGCTGACATGACCAGCATCCTTCAGAACTCTGTGCAGCAGCAGTTACTGCTGCTGCTGAGGGTCTGACCGCTTCCCCATCCTGTTTCCCTACGTGCTGGCAAGCCAGGTATGACACACACGACTGCAGTTTCCTCACTCTGAGTTATGAATTAACTTAAGGAATTGATGAGAATCATAGAATCATAGGATGGCCTGGGTTGAAAAGGGCCACAATGATTATCTATAGTTTCAACCCCCTGCTATGTGCAGGGTCACCAACCACCAGACCAGGCTGCCCAGAGCCACATCCAGCCTCACCTTGAATGCCTCCTGGGCAACCTGTTCCACTGCGTCATCATCCTGTGTGAAAAACTTCCTCCTAATATCTAACCTAAGCCTCCCATCTCAGTTTAAAACCATTTCCCCTTGTCCTATCACTCTTTCACTATCCCACCTTCTAAACAATCGTGATGCTCAAATGTGTAAATTCTACTACAAGAAACATCTGCAGAGCTTTGCTTTGAACTTCTTGGGAAATGCCAAGTTAATCACAAAAAAGTTTGGAGGAGCCACTACATTCAACTACATCACTCATGATGTGGTCCCAAATAGATTATCTAATGCAAAAGGAAAATATGAATTCAGTGCCTTCTGGCGATCCAGTGCTGTTGAAGGAACTTCCCTATAGCTCTGAAGACAATTTAGTGTGCTCAGAGGAAAAAAAAAAAAAGCTAACATATATGTGAATATAGGCACCTTCTAAACAGTGTGATGCATTTAATCTGGTCTTGGATAAACAGATACAAAACAGAAAAGGAGATATGTGCATGTTACTGTAAAAAAAAAGTCAGCATGATCTGAAGAAAAAAAAAAAGTATAGCAGAAGATGGAAAACACAACTTCTATTGAAAAAAGAGAACTAATTTCCTGACTCAGCAGTCAAAAAAGTAGACTTACAACTGTTACGTGGAATTTGTTTGTTCAGAGGTTTATTGTAGTTCAAAATTTATTTATTTATTTAAGACATATTTCCTGGTCAGCGTCAAGCAATTACATCCTCATCTTCTCTCCCCACTCTTGCATGTTCAAAACACACTCTGCTTTGCCTTAATTGCTTAAGAATGCATGACAATGAAAGTGATTTATTTTTCTGTATTTATGGACTCAGCACTAGAGAGCACCAGTTGACACAATCATCATAAATATACATTCCTATCTAGAAATGTTTTGTAATTCATGTTATAGATGTTTGAATATGTTGCATGACAGAAAATCTTCATAATTTATACATCAAATGAATCGTGGTTCTCCCCGATACTGCTTTTAGTCACAAAGTGTGCATTCATGCTGTTTACTACATCTGACAACAAGCATCAACTGTTAACAAACATCACAGTGGATAATCAAAGATCATATGTAGAATTGAATTACTTATTTCCCTAAATAAGTGACTTCTACTGTCATTAGGTATAAACATGAAGGTTGTCATTGCCCTTTCTCTTGTGTCTGGCAGAGAATTGCAACAGCTTCTCTATATGAACAATGTCAGTTATTAGACACCTTTACTGTCACATGACTTTTCAAGATTATTACTTTTGTTATTATTTTTTAAATTGTTTTTAAGAACTTGGACCAACCTGTGCCGATTTGAATGGATTATCTCTGACAAAAGATAGATTCTGTGATGTTGACTGGTCTGAAACACCAATAATATTTAGTCCTTTCCTCTTCTCTCTCAGGCAAGCCTGTTGGTGTCTTTTTATTCTTTCCATCTGTTCCTCCACAGTCATTCGAGGCCGTGTGCTTTCTGCAAGACACAACTGCTCCACTGCACTTCTTGGTCTTTCCTTAAAAGGAAGAATATACACATTCTTTAAAAGCAGCAAGATTCTTAGCTATTTAGCTTATCAGAAAGATCACCTAACGGCTATTAAAAAGCAGAGGAATTGTGGGCAAGAAAAGATCTCTCGTGTATACAAACAAAACACAAGATTAACAAATAAACACCAAAATTAAAAACACATTGTTTTTTTTTTAAACAGTGGTATTGTTATCATCAATGCTTAACATCAAGACAATGGGTACAAACTTTTTCAGACCTTTTGTGTGAAGTTGAAATAATTTACCAGATATTACCAGAGAGCTGACTCCCCTAAGACGAAAACTTAGGAGAAATTTAACGACTGAGGACATTTATACCAATTGATCTAATATTCACTTCTGCCTTTTTATTCCATTCCCAGCTGGGGATCACCTAATGGCAAGCTCAGGCTGAAACAACCTGAATTTAGCATCGCTTAAAAATGTGTAGTTCTAAGCATTATATCATTCCTGAAAAAACAATGGCTTTACCCACTCTAATCCTGAAATTCACCAATTTTCAGATTTTTCTGTCATAAAAAATACAGAACTATTTACTTTGGGCAAATGGTTGCCTTCAGCAGATTCATAGCAACTGGCTTCATTTCTGCAAGTGGTACTCTTTTTCCATTCAGCATCTCTCTGCTCTCCTATTCTTTCCACAGCTTATCCTCACCTATTCATCCTACAACGAAGGCAGAAATTTTCCCCACTTTTGCCTAAGCTACATGTAAACATCTGCCTTCAGCCCAGAGACTGCAGGACTCTAACCTGACATTCCAGGTTTACTACCCACATACTGATTGACATTTTCGCTTTCTGGCTGCTTTAGCTTTTCCCAGATCAATTTAGTATCAAAATAAAATCCCCTACGTATTTCACAGAGGCTGTTAAAATGCTTCAGAATCCAAATATACTCTTGAAAGCTTTTAACGAAAGATGCTTCATGTCTTTTCAGCTTAAGCCCAAACTTCAGTTTCCAGCTGCTTAGTAGATTTAACATTACCATGTATTTCTTAGCCAGCTTTAGTGTAATGAAATCTCTTTGCAGTTTAACATACATGACCCTTACAATTTTGTTATTTTCTCTACAGCTGTCTCAGCTAACTGAATAGATTATATTTCACTTTATATCACAGTGATTTTTATGTAAAGGAAATTAAAAAGATAGCTGCAACTTTTCAAGTAACTGCAGAAATTAAACTTAGAAATTAACATCTCATTATCCATAATTGCTTGAAAGCTACTTTAAATTACCGTTCTTAGATCGATCTTCTTATTCTTCCTTAAAGTGACATAGGATGCTATTGTTGAGGATTCTGGGGTTGGTGATTTGGTTCTGGGTGGTACAACTCCCACTGGGAAATGTGAGCCTGTGAAACAGTAAAGCAACATACTAAGTCCTATGCAAAGCATAATCAAACAGCACATTGTTTTCTACTACATGCACGTTGTCAGCCTCGGAAACTACTCAAACTCTGCATAACTGTGACATCCATTAAGGTATGCAGGCAGATGACCAGCAGGTTAGGCAGAGAAGAGCATGGCTAAATACTGCATATGGCATGAGAAATTGCTGGACATAAAAATAACAGTGAGAAATGGACAAAAGTTAGACAGTGCTTTGTGCAATGGCTAGACTTCACATATGGTTAAGGGGGAATTGTGTGAAAGATAGTTAGGCTTTCATAGATTCATAGGCTTCACAGATAACGGGAAGGCAGAATCTGGGACTGTCTGTGGAATAGAGCTTGCAAGGCCAGCACGTGACCATACCAGTACAGCTATTTAAGGCCAACATTACCTAGGTGATAGTATTGGAAATCATTTTTAAAAGGTTGGACTGACGCAGGAAAAGTAATTACAGGTGGATTGCTTATTTGGGTAGAAACAAAGATTGAGAAAAAGAAGGGGCAAGGCAGATAGGAAAAAACAAGCATGGCATAAAACAGAGGGGGAATAAAAAGGCTCAGCTTTGTGTAAGCAAATTGTTTTTCAGTATGCTTGTCTCATCAAGTCCTGAGCCTGACAGTTGCAGCCTGTCCATTCTTCTTACTAAACTTTATTCACACATATTTTTTTCATGTAGGTTTTCCTTTCCATGCAGTAGCATGTGAGAGAGGGGGAGACAGATCATAGGGCTGGGGCCAGAGAGATGGCAGAGCCTGCACGTGCACAGGCTGGCTACCACACTGGCCATAGGTATGGATCTGCTACCCAGGAGGACTCTTCTGTCTATGCTAGATGCTAAATGAACTTAAGGCAGCAAGCAGAGCATGAGGTTTAGGAGCCAAGTGTCCAAGAGATTTTTAATCTCGAGATCTCACTACTGGAGAGGTTGGAGAAACTCAAGAGCTGGCTGCTGGAAATACCATAGGTGCAGGCAGCCTTTGGAGTGGCCCACTCATGTGTAGGTATGAGACCAGCCAACAAGCTTTCAGTCTGGTCAGTTGGCAAGTGAGAAGAGGATCACGGTTATCTGTGTTGTTCCACTTTTATGTGAGTGCTGTTTTTACTTTTGCAGTGCTTGCAATGGCACTGATCTCAAAACTGTTTTACAGTTGTGGTTAGCTGGGTCTGTTCAGAGCATGTGTGCCTGTGCACAGTGCCTGTATGCTCAGCCTTGCAGCTCATGGACAGAGAAGTGTAGCAGCCAGGGTCTGTCTGACTGGGAGCTGAGGATATTCTGTGTCCTGCTGCCCACCATACATTCTGCCTTTCATAACGATAATTCACCACTGGAGTTTTTCTGCTTACAGAACTTCTGCCAAAATGTAATTAAGCTAGTAGAAAATATAAAAGTCACAAAAATATACATATATAACTAGGTAATATGTTTCATCTTTCCTTCTTCATACATGCAGGAAATCAAAGTATTAAAAATACTGGTTTTTTTTGCAGTTTTTGCCTATAAAAATGGACTTATATTCTCCGATGGTCAAATTACCTCCCCTTGTTTTTCCTGAAGTCACACTGATTTCAGAGGACATACTGACTCAGTCGAAGTCTCAACTATTTCTCCAAATTGTTTGATAGGCTGACAAAATAGCCTGGAGTTATTTGAATGCCAAATACATCATTCAGAACAAAAACTACAAAACAACAGTTTGGGTCTCCTTTACACATGAAAAGGATAAAACACAGCTTAAGTCCATTTTCCTTTAGTGTCACTTTTATGTGCCACTCAGGTCATAAATATTCCTCTGCTTGCAGAGAGCTGTATGGGTTGCTTTACACAGGATGGGAAGGGCTGACAGAGAAAAACATCAGAAATGTTCAGTACAGTAACACACACAGAGAGTGAGAAAAACATTAAAAAGTTTCCTCTGAAATCTACTTATTTTTCAGAAGCATTCTGAAAAATGTCATTTAAGGATGACTTCTTAAAACAGATTGGAGGTTTCAGACATGAGCTGCCTTTGAGTTTGTTCCCCTTAGAGTTTATAAACTCTTATGACAGAATGGCATAAAAATGTTTGTTGGAACAGCATATGGTTATAATGTCATATGCACTACAAAGAACAAACAAACAACAACCAAAACCAGGAAGGGTTGTATTTTTCCTGCTGCATGGGATTGTTGTTATAAGCACACAGAACAAAAAAATAGCTGTCAGGAAATCCAAAAAGAATGGACCAAACGATAAAGCACAGCTATGATAAACTCACTTCACTCTATTTTGAATGAAGACAAATAGCCCTCCCTGCACTCGCTACCCTGAACTCCAAATACTATTTATAGTAGAATAATTTCTATTATTGCTGTTCTTTACTGAAGGTTGCTTTTTGGAAGTGGACATAATAAAGTTAACTTCCATCTTTACAGAAAATAGAAAGAAGACTAGGGCGCTCAAGAAGTATCAGCTAGCTTTATATAGTTAGTATAGGCTTCTTATGTTGTCTTAATTAGTCTCCCTCGTGTCATAAATGCCTGTAAGTAGTCTGAAACACCATGCGCCAAAAAATGTAAATCTATAACAAAAAAGGCAATTTTAGGTGGTTGGTGATTAGCAAATCTCGGGCTAAACTGAATATTTTTACCACTAAGTAATTTAATACCTAAAGTGGCTGTTACACCTCAGCAAATATATTCAATCTGAATTAAGTAATTGCCTGTAAGTAAGTGCAAGCTTAAATATATCATCCATCATGGGGTCATTCACATTGTTGGGCACCCAAACTTTATGCTGTCTTTTGTTTTAAAAGCCTAGATGGCTGTTCTGGTGAAAGTAATATCCTTACATGATGATAGCTCTTGGGTCAATTCTAGTATTACACCAGACCTCTACATATTTGTTTAGTCAAACTAATACAAGCTATTATCTTGCTGGCACTGTAAACATCAATCGTTAGAGAAAAAAGTTCAGTTATTCTGAAAGCTCTTAAAGGGGTTTTTTGGTAGTGCTCAGACTGCTTTTCCTGGAGTCACCTTTAACAAACTATTCTGTGTGTTTTAACAAACAGAATTGAGGAGCACTTCCTGGTAAAAGACTCTAGCAAGCAATTAGTAGCTTTTATGGAAGCTGGATGAAGAGAAGAATCTAAAGCATTTAGCAATTGCAAAGACCTTTATTGTCTGTACACTCCAAGGTCATGATCATTATTCCTATTATATCAGAGGACAGAAGGCAATTCAACAATTACAAGATTAAAAAAAGAAAAAGACATTGTTTCTCTGCCTTATGAGAGTCTGAAAATTCTGTGGTGCTGCCTTTTTGGACGTTCCAGTGACATAACATTGGGAGCTTGATTCAAAAACTGAATAATTGTTCAGGGGCATGAACAGAAAATGGGTAATTGTTCAAGGGAATGGTGTGTGGGGAACGTGAGTGATGTGATTAGACATGGTGTCAATAAGGATTTCAGGGTTGTTGGTGAGTGTAATGTTTGATTTTTCTGTGGTGTAATTGACTGAAATCTTTCTTGTCATATAATTAAATGATTATTTTATTGTGGAAGTTGTTTCATCGTACTAAGAAATGGACAGGCTACAAAAATATGAAGGATGAAATAGCTTCTGTAACAGTTAAAGCTCTGCATTTCTTCTGAAAAATTGCTGAAAGGTCATAAACGGCACTCCTGGGGACAAACCTTTAGCTGCAGATTCTGATTCTAACATTTGTTCTGTTTTTTCTTCACCATTAGATTCATCCACTTCTGCTACTGTAGTTAACTCTGGTTCACTCTTATAAAGCCTATAATCAGGACCCTGAAGAATGACAAGTTATGAGGTAAATAAACTGGCATTTCTGTATAAGCATTTATGTCTTAAGACTCAAAACAGCTATTTTCTGATGAGACTGCTCACTTCAGGGCAACAGCTCACCGTTCAATTGCTCTGGCAGCAGTATTCCTTCATAATTAGTTTGAGAAATGTTTGCAGATTTTCAGAAATCACAGAAAAATTGCCATAGGCTTCAGCAAGAACTGCTTCTGAGCCTCAAGTTTTATAAATACTTGTGAGGAGAAGAGTTTGGTTTTTGAAATTGACTTAGATCCAAAACGCACCCATTTAAGTCTTAAGACATTTTATATATACACAGAATATATGACAGGAAAATGTGAAAAGCAAATGATGGAGCTGTAAATAAAACCAAAAGCCGAAAGTAAAAACAAATATAAAAGTAGCCAGATGGCAAAATAAAAATTGTGACTGTGCAAAGGAAGGGGGAATGCTTCAAGAACGATGTGGCAGTTTAAGCCACTTACACAGTGAGATCCATTTCTCTGATATCCTTGAACTTGGTGAATCTTCTTTTCTTCTGGCAGATGTACTGGGCCCCTGCTATAACAGAGCAAGGAGCTGCTATCACTGGGCAGAGGGGGGATTATGGGAGGATGCTCTGTAAAGTCATAGGACCGAGGGAGTGGAGGACGAGGTGGGACTACTTCCTCTTCCTAAAGATTGTAGAATAGTCACCTTATTTAGATGTGCACACCTGTTACAATTATTTATAACTTATAAATAAATAAAAATATATTACCATAGCTACACCAGCTATAGACTTTTGTATGAAAGGGACGATGTCACACTACAAAATAATTTAAAAAAAAAAGGGGGAAAAAGGAAAAAAAAGAAAGAAAAATGAAAAAAGGCCAAAATATGCATTTTAATTAATTACCACCATGTACAATGAAATACTTCAACAGCTTTAGTAATCAACTTATGAAAGTTTTCAGTTCTATCATCGGCAATTTTTAATTAGATATCTATGAATTCTCTGAATTGTCCTTTTAAATATTAAACTCTGTATCTTTTTAAAGATTTTGATATACAATACATTTTCAAAAAGTTCTGTAAACCACATGTATATTTCCAAACGCTTTAGACAGTCATGACATGTCCCTTTAAAACTGTAAATGCTAGCCAGATTTTCAGAGCAATTGAACATCTGGGAGCTCCCACAGTTTCAGATGCTCTTGTGGGTGCTCGGCCATCTGAGAACCAGGCTCAGTAGGTGAATAGCCATACAAAGCAACATATTTCTTCCCATGAAAAGTGTTTTGGGGAAAAAGGCAAATCCAAAAATCAGGGTTTATATTTCTAGGATAAGAGCCTGGGGAGAGGAAAAGGTGAGAAATGGAAAAGAGAAACATACTGGTGAGAATATGAAGACAAAGAACAAATGAAAGTGTTAGAATTACTAGTTATCAGTCTTTTAAAACTAATCACAATGAAGTATTTTCACAGAATACATACTTTAGAAATTCTTAAAACGATTCAAATAATGTTCCTTTTTATCATGTATATTTGATATTCAGTGATGCTAAAATGGTAAATATGCCAAAAGCATACCTCATTTTTATATTTAATAGCAGAAAATGTCCTTGATCCCATGATGCCTGTTTGGGGGGTGAGGGGGAAAGGGTAGGAGGAAAGAGAAGAATTGTTTTCAGTAAGTAGTTTTATGAATGCAAAATATAAGCTGTTATTACCAGGCAAATACACAAATCATCAATTTAAAATATCTGACTCCTTCAAACATACAAAAGCAAATGTGATATTTAACTTATAAAAATGCATGTGATCCAATCTCACTCCCTAAGAGAGAAAAACGTCCAGTTTACCTGCATCTGAAGAGCTTCTTTGCTGTTTATGTTTACTTAAACCTTCCATGACATCTTGAATTCTCCACAGTTCCTTTTGAATCTGAGCACGCTGTATCCCAGCCGACTCGGTCTGCCAGTAAAGAAACAGAAAGTGATAAATAAGAATATACTGCAGGAGGGGCAAAAAATAAAACCTCTTCCTCTAGACAGTACTGCATATTCTTATATTCTTTCCCAATGAATAAAACAAAATGCAAAAACGACAGATACTCTCCCATTAAAAGGTAACAAATTAGTATGTTGTCAGCAAAGGAGCAGACAGATTAAGTCATTTCAGAAACACACCAGTTATTTTGATAGCAATTTGCAAGCTGAAATTCCACTTAATGGAATTACATGTTCTCTTTAAAAAGAAAAGCAAAACCAAGCTTGCATGGAAGACCTACACACAACAAAAGGAAAGGAATCAGCAGTTCCAATCCAAAATAGTTGCAGATGAACGTGATGTTTGCATACGAGCATATAAAATGTAGGCCTATTTGCGTTCATGGTTATGCATGCTTTGGGCTGCATAGCACAAATTTCTCAGCTCTTGAGTTTCCTTGTAATCTCTCTTTCAGAGCAGCATAGAAAATCAGTCCCTCGAGCAAAAACATCCATTAACACCTCACAGTATTGACCACACCGACCTGTCTATTGCAGATAGATAAGCACACGTTTGTGTGTCACAGAAAGATTACCTCAGAAATTCAGAACGTGTACTTACTAACCAATTCTCCATAAAAGAGAACAAATAATAAAGTAAGAAGATAAGCAGGAAGAGTTCTGATGTTTAACATCTGAATAAATACTTTAAATATTTCATTTATTTTGATACAATTATTTAATTACATTTTAAAATAATGAGGTAAAAGAAAGGATTTATGTGAACACTTAATATGACCATCATAGCAATTAAGGTCTGAGAAAACTTCTCCATTTGGGACACGATCACTGAAATGGAAAGAGATGGACACTGAAAAACTTACACAGTAGCTTCAAAATACAGGAAAAGCTAAAAACCTCCTCAGAACTGATGAACTTTTAATTTCTTTTTATATCTTGTAAGTTACCAGACCACACATTCTCCATTCTCCCCCTCCTTTTTTTTTTTTTTTTCTTCCATTTGTGTAGAATTTTTAACCAAAAACATAGAAAATGAAAAAGACTTAAATGTATCCTTATGACCTATGCCACACCTGAATTTCTCCAAGCCGATCAAGTTGCTCCTGCATATGGTTCCTTGTTGCTGTTACATCATATTCTAGTTTATCATATTCTCTCCAAGCTCTTTCCAGTTCCTAGGTATATGACAAAAAAAAAAAAAAAAAAAAAAAAAAGAATTGCATTTGCACATTCAAGTTAAAAAAAAAATTTAAAAAGTAGGCAATTTTATTCATACAATAGCATGAAACATCAGGGATTAATTCCTAGAGATTGGCAGTAAGTGTACATACAGTCGTAGAGAATGTCACAATTAAACAGCTTTAGCATCTTCTGATGATACTGAATGACATACAAACTAATGGCATTTTGTCTTTTCACAAACTACAAGACAGTCCAGGATGAATTCTTAAGACTACATTGTTATAATTAGCAGGCATGTGGATCTTAAGATGCCCTTCCACAGGTGCAGAAAAAATACAAAATGGATGTAAATTTGTCTCCTTTATTACACAGAATACATAGGTATGAGTGCAAAGCATGTGCATGTATATAAAATTTATTATGCAATACAACTAAGTCATCCAACCTTGCCTGTAATGTTACAGGTATACCGTGAAGCCAGGAATACCCCGGGCTTGCTAATACACCTGTTTTTACATATGTGAAACTGCAAACATCAGAAGGCGGCACAAAAAGAATCTTTGAGGTCAGTCGTTCTCCCTTACTAAACCTGGGTCAAGCCCTTGATTTGATTTAGCATAAATTAAAAAGTTGATGAGAGGTGTTCTAAGATTTCCTTTAGTTTCCCATGCTTCCATTTTCCTCATCCAGCCAATCTCTTTTACAACAATTGGAAGGGACCTTAAAGATCATCGAGCTCCAACTCCCCTGTTGAGGGCAGGGCTGACCCCACCAGCTCAGGCTGCCCAGGGTGGCCTTGAACACCTCCAAGGATGGGACATCAACAGCTTCTCAGAGGTGCCAGCACCTCATCACTTGTGAGTGAACAATTTCTTCCTAACATATAACTTAAATTTCCCATCTTTTAGTTTAAAGCCATTCTCCCTTGTCCTATCAGAATCAGACCATCTAAAAAGTTGGTCTGCCTCCTGCTTACAAGCTCCCTTCAAATACTGGAAGGACACAGTGAGGTCTCTCTGGAGCCTTCTTTTCTCCAAGCTGAACAAGCCCAATTCCCTCAACTTTTCTTCGTAGGAGAGGTGCTTCAGCTCTCTGATCATCTTTGTGACTCTCTCTCCAACAGCTCTGCATCGTTCTTGTGCTGGGGGCCCCAAGCCTGGACACAGTACTTCAGATGGAGCCTTTCAAGGGCAGAGTAGAGGGGAACCATTACCTCTTTCTCCCTGCTGGCCACCTGACTATGACTGTCCTTATGCAGGTCAGAATGCAGTTGGCCTTCTGGGTTGCAAGTGCATGCTGCTGGCTTTAGTCCAGCTTCTTGCCCACCAGGATCCAGTCCTTCTCTCACCAAGTTCTTTTCCCAGTCTGTATATACAGCTGGGATTGCTCTGACCCAAATGCAAGACCATGCACTCAGCCTTGTTGAACCTCATGAGGTTCTCATGGACCCACATTTTAAGCCTGTCCAGGTCCCTGTGGATGGCATCTTCTTCTATTGAGTCAACTGCACCACTCAGCTTGGTGTCATATGCAAATCTGCTGAGAGTACATTCAACCCTGTCATCTATGTCACTGACAAAATGAGTACCAGTCCCAAGATAACCTCCTGGGTGACACTACTCACAATCGGCCTCCACTGGACACTGAGCCATTAACAACAACCCTCAGGTCAACCAATTTCACATTTAACAAATAGTCCAGTCTTCACATCCATACCTCTCCAACTTATAGATAAGGATGTGGTGTAGAACCATGTCAAAGGCTTACATAAGCAAATAAAAATGACTGTTTCCTTTGTTGCCCTGTGTTTCATGAAGTGAAAAAGGAGATTAAATAGAAGCTCCCCTACTTTTGTCTAAGGTTTTCAAAAGTGTATGAGCTAGAATATCTTTGAAATATGATGGACCACTATTAAGAGAGACCATGAAAGCGTTACCTTTTCTTCTTTTCACTCTGTAGATATTTTTGCTTAAAACAAATTACATATGTGATGGAACGTCTGATAAAGTTTTCTATTATTTTACTTGACTTACTTCTGCTGTAATTAAATTCATACATTATAAAAATGAAAATTACCACAACAACTGAGGCCAATATGCACTCAATTCCCAGCAAAAGAAAAATTAAAGACTACTTGGTGAATATAGTGAAAGTTCTAGTTTTTACGAAAATACATGCAAGTACAAGACAACTGAGATTTGCTGGAATGTAATGAAAAATAACAAAAACTGAAACCAATTAAGAACATGAAGATAACCATTTAACAGGTCACTGAGTTTTACTAGCAAGAATGTATTACTTACCGCAGTAGCTCGCGATACTTCTCGACAAGTGCCAAGCAGTCCATTCTGTAAGTCATCTCTCTGTAACACTACATTTTGTATGGCTGCTGGATTATCTGCATTCATTTCTATCTCCTGACTTGCTGATAGCAAAGCTTGCTCAAGCGTGTACTATTATAATAAAGAGAATTATTTTTAATGTTCTGCATCATTGGGTTGATTTTCATTATATTTCAGTTATCAATGTTCTGATAATAAGCATGTAAAATAACATCCACTTTAGGTAATAAATACAATTGTCCTACTTTCTCCTTGTGTAGTTGTTGAAGCTTCTCTTCCAGTGCTTGTACAACTTTATCTTGTTCACATAAACGGCTAAGCTTAGCCTAATATATAACAGAAAATGACTGCAATTAGAATTGTTTTTAATATCTTAAATAACCAAAGCATAACTTCTTCAAATCATTACAAGAGACTAGATAAATTTCGTTACCACTAAATATGAATTCTAAAGTTCTGAAGGCATCAGTGTTGCATTTTCAAATTAACCTCAAGAAACCATAAGGCACTATGAAATAAGTGTTATTGCAACTCGACACAACATTGCTCAAAATGTATAATTTCTGATTCTACAACTACATCATTATAACTTAAAGACAGGTAGCAAAAAACACCTTCGAGCAACATATTCTTCATTATTATACATAACATTGTACACATTACTAGTTTTTCCCGTGGTTTCTTTCAGGTGTTAGTTTTTGATAGTTATTAACAGTACCCACGCTCTGCTGTTTTGGCTCCAATCCAGGCTTGGCTAGAAATAAATCTGTTCCCCTTCAGCTCTGGAGTAACTGTTCAGTGGACTTTAATCAATCTGAAACAGTTTTCTTTTTGAACAGCTTTTTGGTTCAGTTTGCGCCGCTGCTTTGACTTTCTAACTCTAATTGTTCCTTTAAAGTAACATCCCTTAAATCAGCATGTCTACTTTTACGTATGGTTAGATGTGTACACTTGTGCATACAAAGTATGACTGTATGTGCATATCTTTTTGCCACCAAAACTGACCTTAAACAGGAGGGCCCATTTCTTCAGTAATTAGCACACCAACCCTCTGAATGGCAAACAACCATGCCAATTTCAGTTCTGGAGTATCAGTCATATTTCCTAAGAAATTACTGCTCTAATGCTTCTAACTGAACTACATCCACAGACTTTTTCCTGTCTTAAGTAATTTCTTCCTAGAAACATTTCACATTTAAACACATACAGTACTTGAAATTTCATCCTTAAATGGAATATTTCTTGCAACTTAGAAATTCTTAAAAATAAAAAAAAAAAAAAAAAAGTTCACGTTCACATTCACAGATCAATCTCTGTTAGCAGTCACCTATACAAAGTGCATTCCAAACCCAAATGGCAAGGGAAGGATTATTATGAGAAGAAGAAAACAAATACCAACATTTCCAGTGAAGAAAAAATACAAATTACTTACATCAATATCCAGCTCTTCAGTTCTATATTTGTATAGTGTACCCCTACATTCTTCTTGTGTTAACTATAAGGAAGAATAATATTGCCATAAAACAACTTAATTTGACTATGAAAACAAAGCCAGTGTTCAGCTCAAGAGTTTTAATACAGCATATCAGCTTTTGCTTGAATGTCAAACATAACACATTGAGCAATATATAGTTAGCCAAAATATCTAGTAACTGAAGGTAACTAAGTAGAATGTCAAACACTGTTGGTAAAAAGTTATATAAACAAAATAGGCTATGTTTCTAATGCAAACTGGATTTTAAGAGGTGTAACTCAATCAAACATGGATTCTTGAAAGATGAAACTGCCAGTGTACACCTAAACAGAGTTTATACATAATTATGCATGTTTAAATATCTACATTCTAAATACAGGGACTCACTCTACTTGGAATTAACCCTTCTAGGTCCACTAAGATCAAGTATATTCTCAAGGAAGATATTCTTAGTGAATCTGAAGTCAGAACAGAATGGCATAAGCATACAAATATCTGTAAAATATATCACACATGCCCAGTAAGTGTTGCCAAATATCTTCCCTCCTACTTTCTCCTATGAAAAACCCCCACCCCAACAACAGCATTCAGAGCATAAACACAAATGCCACAAACAGAAATCCTTCTGTTTTCAATTTGGACCTAGGCAAACCAGTATCCTTCAACTACTTCAATACAGCTCCTCACATTAAGTCCTTACCTCTTTCAGTCCCTAAACTGATCTGTAACAAGATTTAAAACTATACATGGGGAAGAAAAGGCAGCTTCCTATTTTAGAATGGACTACCATACACAGAATTTGCTTACTGTCCTATATAGTAAGCACTTGCATAACGCTATCAACCTTAATATTCCATTTAATTAAAAACATGTGTACATTGAGTCCCAACATATATGCTTTCCTTTCATGTGCATGATATAATTAGGTCATCATGGCTTAATAGTGCAAGAAAACTATAAAAACACACGTCCATGTTAAAGGACACTTATAAATAAAAGGACTAGGGAAGGGTTAATCAGACAAGCATTCCAAACATACAGTAAATCTTCAACACACTTAAGTGTTTCATTTCAAGATGTTATGTCCACATACCTCATGCAAATGCACCTGGTGACAATTTAAAAGTATGGATAGTGTATTAAAACCACACAGTAACTTTCTTTGAAATGGACATTTTATGAAAATGAGTGATGGAATATGAAAAAAGCCACAGCACTTTTGCACCTCATGAATGCCACAAATATTAGCATTTTAAGATATCTATTCAATCCCATACTGTTGTACAGTTGTGTTTTTTGAATGTAGATTTTGCCTTAATGAGAGAAAAATGAGGAATGGAAATATTTAAACAAAACTCATAAACATGGTCAATATAAATTTAAGGCCAAATGTCTTCAACTTACAGTGAAAATCTAGGTATACTTCACAACAGAAAGACTTCACAAGAAAAAGATGATCCAGTATTAGCTAAACACGTGTTTGCAAGACACTGCTCAACAGTTCATATGAGTTGCCTGGAAAAGGAATCTTTTTAAAGCTATTATCTTTTTTTTTTATTATTCTTTTTCTTTAAGGAGTCATTTCTTTATTCAGCAGTTCAACCTTAATCAGAGCAAAGTTGAGAAAAGCTTTTCAGTTCAGCATCCCTGCCCCTGTCTATCTCCTGGATGGAATATATCCTAAACATTCTGAAAGTAAAAATGCATTTTCAAAGAATAGTGTGCACGTGCTAATTCCTCTTATTAATATCCTACCACATCTTTAAAATTGCTGCCAACTTCTTGTTTTTGTCTGCACTTCTAGCTCACCACAACAGACAATTCTGGACAGCCACTTCCACGCTGCTGCTGCAACAGTTTACATGGACTTAACACCAAAAACTCTAGAAATGATATGAAACACTCAATCCATCTCTGACAAAACAGCGGCTTCTCTTCGATCAGCCTGTCTATAAATCAATTAAAGGCAAAAATCTATAGGTAGAATGCTATCACACTACTGGAAATTGTAAGAGGAATTGCAGTAGACAAAGCACAATTACACATTGCAAGCAAGGTTAACAATCTCATAACCCTGGAAAATGCATTATAAGAACTCCAACGACCAAGTTATTGAAATGTATTTTATGTCACGTTCAACAAAAGCCTCCTTTATCGAACTGCTCCTACTCTTATCCAGCATGGACATTCCAGGGAAAGACTGCCACCTACTGAAAGACTGACACGGCTTGCTGCAGGCTTCTTCAGTTTTCCTCCACAGTTCTCTGCCCATATCCGAAGAAGACCTTGCCTGTTACCAACTGCACTTAAACACTTCGCATGCTGATGCTGAGTAGCAGCACTCTGAACACCTCCAAACGGAACTTAGCATTTCTGTAGGGCAAACTGCACACGGCTCAGCCAAATGTGTGTCTTGCACGTGAAAAAGAAAAGCAATCTTAACTGGAAATAACTTCTGTTAATAAGCCAGTCCCGTTGATTTAAATGCTCTGTTCACGTTCTATGATCTTCACTGTGAATGTGCATATGCAGCAGAATTTAATTATTTCATACTGTGAAACTACTAGTCAACTAGCTGTCATATACTTTGTAAGGCAGCATTGCTGTCAAAAACTGAGATCAGATGAGTCACAGAAAGGGACAAGACCACCGTGATGGACGCTACAAAATGTCTTTAGTGGGAACCTTCTTTTCAAATAAATGTAGATTAGGCAAATCTCCCTCTTGAGACATGAGGTGTAAGACCTATTTAAGCACCCAATATTTGAAACATTTAAGTGAAGGTATTATTGTCAGACTCTGCTAATGATTTTGGCTCAGTATCTATAGCAGGAAATTTCACAACTGAACAAACGCCAACGTCTCTGAAAAATTATGGAACTTAAAAGATTGAAACAGGACAAAATGTAGGGCATGCTGTGTGTGGGGAGCATGATGTTAAAGTCAGGCTTCCAAGAGGCTGTTTTATTTTGTTTGCTTGTCTGTTTGTTTTCCCTCTCCACAACTCCTTCCAATTGGGAAGTAACACAAACAGTTACTTAACCCACAGCAAGTAAGATTCCCTTCCAAACTGGTATTATGCAGCAGATTTCATATTAGAAATACAAATTGGAAATACTAGGTTTTCAACTAAGATACAGTCAACCTGTGCATTCACAACAAAACCTGAGAAATACTTCTGCCTACAAATCTCAAAATGTGATGTGCAAAGATGGCTTAATTTTATGCAGCTGGTTAAATAATAGTGATAAAAAGAATTGCCATGCCAGAAACAAGATCTCCTTCATAAAATTCAGGTCTAGTTTTATTCATGTTTTTCATGTATTGAGAACAAATATTCAAGTAAAGGCACATGTCAGCTTGCTGCTCTCACATTTTTATTTTTCTCCCATTAGTAAAGTCGCACACATGAAAGGAATTGAGGATAATTCCTTCCTTTTTTTTTTTTTTTTTTTTTTTTTTTTTTTATTTAGCAGATTCCACTTTAGAAAAGAAAATTAACACTCCACATCTACCATTAGAAAGAAGCAAAAAAAACAATAATAAAAAAATAAAGTTAGGAATGGGTCCAGGCTGCAAATGGCCTCTGTTTTTCTTGCTTGTACATTCAGAATCAGTGCCCTGGCTTACACCTGCATATTTATGGTACAGTGTGTAGAGTGGACTAATGTAAATCAAAGTGATTTAAATAATTAATTTTAAAAACAGTGACAGATGAACAATCACAATTAAAATGTCTTTTAAATAAGACATTTGGAATAGTATAATTTTAATCTATTTTACTCAAGAGCCACTAATCAGTACAAAAAAGGAGAAGCAAAAGGTTAATTCCTAACTAAACACAAGCATTTCTTGCTTTCCTTTGCCTACCTGAATAAGTTAAGTCATAAACTCGATCTGAATAAACTTAAGAAAGAAAGATCCTTTCTGTACTGCCTGAATGGCTGTACTCGTCAAAGACTAGTTCAACTTGACAACAAAACAGGTTTAAGTCACTTACCCAAGGCTTCTCCCAGTTGTTTTAATTTCTTTTAAACTGCACTGCCAAAGATGATTGGTGAAAACAATTTGTGTTATTCAAATTAAAAACTGAATGCTGTTTAAGCTTTCAAATACACTCTGACTTTAGTGGTGTTCCTAAGTAGCCAGGCAGACCAGCCAGGCACAGCTACACCTCCATCATGTCTTGATCAACAGTAGAAGCTGAGTTAGTTCACTCTGACAGATCCAAAGCACCCCTGCTCAATCTATGTACATTAACTTATTTATCTTACATAGTCTAAAACAGAAAAGTGATTTTCTTGAAAAAAAGTTTGTAATGGCCCGGCTTCTCTAAAAGAAAATAAAAAACAGCAAAATCACCTTCATTTTGGACTTGAAGGCAACATACTTTTCTCATTCCTCTCCAAATGGTCCCTTCAGGTTCCATGTTAGAACTCCTATTTTGCACCTGGGAGCACAAATTGGACTACTGCTAGTCCTGAAGATCCTGAGATGGATCTTTCCTGAATCACAAGCAAATCTACAAGATGGAGTTAACTTCCAAAACCAAAACAACCACGAAACTAAGCTTCAGCACGGTTTCTTTAGAAACATGACAAAGCACTAAATACCAGTAAATGACTTATGTCATAGAACCTCTCTTTTTCTGTGAACTATGCACCTTTATTTTAGCTCATAAGAGAGCCCCTCAGACACTCACTTCCAACTGGCAGCCAGAACTGCATGCTTCAACTACAGTAAAATACCACCCTCATTTAAGTAAGAACAACATCTTTGTTGCAGTTGTGGATAAAAGCTTCTGAAACATTCTCTGATGCGGCAGGAGCTATTGAACTAAGCTCCAGCATGCCTAAGACACTGCAATGCCAACAGATACGTATTGGCCATGCTCATAAGTTAATGCAGGTCTCAATGCTCAGGCAATATTTCCATTCACATTTTGGATTCGTCTTCCATCTTACCATTTACATCTGTCACTAGACACTCTGTAAGTGTGCACTGTTAAGGCTGCTGTGACTTTATTAACAGACACTGCCTTTTGGATTTACAGTCCCCGGATCAAAGTGATTTTGATCCTTCCTTTCTTCAGTGGCTAAAGGCTTGGAAGGTGCAATCAAAAACCTGTAAATCCACTTCCTAGAATGAAACATAATTGCCAGAAATGACCAGGTAAACACCACTCACATGCTTTTGTAGTGGTCAAAAGAAAGAAGCACCTTTGAACACTAATAGCATAGGATCATGCTAGGACAGATGTTGGAAGCTTATTGGAAGTTTTATGAATTTACTGGACAGCTGCGTAAGACACCAACTAATTAAGTAGTCCAGACAGAGTTATTCGAAGGGGTACATTTAATACTTAACAACAAAAACGCAGCGAAAGCCATGCTAACGATATTGCAGCATTTTGTAAAGCATGGATGACTCGTGGTTTTCCAAAGCAAATAAGAGAAACACCAATGTTATGAAGAAATCCGAGGAACAACCAAAACTGTCGCTAAGAAAAGTTTTCGCAGATGATAAAGCAATTTCATTCGCTATCCGAGACCTTACTTGCTGGTACAGTTGCGGTCTTAGCGCCGAGTTCTCAATCATAGTGTGAACCATGGTGATTAAAGGTTCATTCTCTTTCATCTATTTCAAATCAGGAGGAGCATACAGCAAACATCAGTTTACAGCATGGCTAGATTTGAAAGACGACACTGTAAAATATAGCCTCTACTTTAATTTTTTTCTAATAATACAGTAGGTTACATTTTACCCCATGCTTTTTATATATTCCATCATTCAGTAATATCAAACATCTGAAAAGTTTAATGATATCATACAAATATAGCAAAACCACATAAAACCGCCCCAAACCAATGAAATATTATTTGAACAAACCTCTCCCTTTTAAAAAATCCTTAACATTCTTAAAATAGGTCTGGCTTTGCAAGATATAGAAATGATGCGTATCAGATTATGCAATAGGAAATCAGAAAACCTTTGAAATTACAGTTTCAGTAACTCAGTGTATGTCAAATAGATAAACACATTCCTTCAGAATACAAAAGCAAGGTGTAGATTTTTGTTCGCAGATCACAAAATGCCTTTATATACTGAACTGTTTGATAGACTCTTTGAATCACTGGTCATTTCATTTCATTTCATTTCATTTCATTTATCCATCCTCATATATGAATGTGAAACTACTTTGAGTTTTACATTTCTGAGCTGGTCAAAACACCTTCTGTACTGATTTATATTTACTGTCATGTATGCAAAAGTAAAAAACAGATCAGGATCATTACAGTAAAAACTGTACACACTGAGGACTTCAGAAAAGTATACAAAACACAATAGGGATTTTTTTATTTTAAAAATAGATCTCCCTAACATTAAGTGAAAAATTACAAAAACTTGATTTTCATCTCCTAAAGAAACTGAAAAGTCACTTAAACTATTTTTTTTTTCTCCTTATAGGAAAGATTTTTTTGTAGTCATAGATACGAGACTTCTTTTTGTTGTTGTTGTTGTTGTTTCATTAAACATAGTTAATAGTCTGTTTAGCTGCTCCGTTAATCACCCAACAGAATACCTTATCTCAATAAGCAAGCTGATGATGCTGTTTGTGTAAGGCAGGAAAAAAAAGCAAGCAAAGAACTCCTCCTATTTACTCCGTATTCTGCAGCATTACATAAACAGAAAATTAGAACTGACACAAGAAGTTGTTCTTCCTTTACTTTAAATCCAACTGACAGACTGTTTAATATTCATGAGAGTCTATGTATCAACTCTTCTGTTAACTGAAGTGAGCACAGGAGGGGAAATCTGTATCGAAGAACTGGCAGAGTAAAACAGAGAGCCACTGGCCACAACGGTGAGTCCCATGCTCAAAGGCAAAGAGAATGCCTGTTTTGTGCTTTTAAAGTATTATCATGAGGCCACTGTCAAACAGAAACTGGACACTATTCACACTGAAGAAATTTCTAATTGGTCAAGTTTGCATGCTCATAACAGAAACATGCCCTATTTTTCTCACATTCAAATAAAATTTGCTTCTCAAATTTCTGAACAGTAAAGGGTATGTTTTAAATCCTGTCATATCTTTGTTTTCTCTCCAGTTAAAGATATCACAAAAATTTCTAAAAATTGGAATTAAGATTTTCCTTACATGTAAGCAAACTGAAGCATGAGCTGCCTGTTGACACACAGCAACACATCCAGAAGTCTTAGTTTTCTCACTCACTGTTTCTCCCCAGACACTTCATCTTCCCTTTTCTCTACTGATGTATTATATGCAGGCTTTCTCATCATTTGGAAATGATGTAAAAACACCTCCTTGACACATGACACATATGAACACTCATATGACTTACAAGATAGCATTTGAGCAGGTATTTTATGTTTTAAACTGTAATGCCAAGCTACTATTTTTTTTTTCCTTCCTCTTCTAAAATTCTCTCCCACGCTATGATAACAGCCAGCACAGATGACATTGCAGCCTGAGCTGTTCTGGTGACAGCCATCGGCTGGAATAGCAGCTCCCCACCATGACAGATGACCTCGCTAATGAGATAAGACGGTGTGCTATGGGTGGCATAAGTCTGGGTTCAGATTGGCATTTTTATCTGTTTCCTCTCAAGCTTCCTAAAACAAAAGCAGTGGGAACAGGACTAGACTAAGCGTTTCTCCTGCCTTTCCTCTGCTCCTCCATCCAAAACAAAGAAGGAAAAAGCATTTTTCCTTCTTGCTTTCTTTTCCAACAATAATCCAACACAGTCTTGTTTTTACCCCACCCAGATCGTTACTCTCAAAAAAATAAAAGGGAAGATGCAGCAGAAAGAACAAGAATGGTGGCTTTGTCAGCTCGCTACCTTTTCCAAAAAACTTGAAAAGTACAATTAAGAGTTGCATCATAAACGTTGCTAATATAGGACACAGAATTTTAGGCTGGGGAAAAAAAAAACAAAAATTAATAAAGGATATGTGCAGCCTGGAAGGCCGACTATGTGCTGGGCTGCACTAAAAAAGGGGAGGCCAGCAAGGAAAGGGAGGTGATGGAGGTGATTGTCTCCCTCTACTTGGCTCTTGTGAGGCCCCATCTGGAGTACAGCGTCCAGTCATGGGGCCTCCAGTACAGGAAGGATATGCAGCTCTTGAAGCAGGTCCAGAGGAGGGGCACTAAGATGATCAGGGCGCTGGAGCACCTGTCCTACGAGGAAACGTTCAGGGAACTGGGCTTGTTTAACTTGGAGAAGAAAAGGCTCTTAGGGAGACCTCATTGTGGCCTTCCAGTACTTGAAGGGAGCGTATCAACAGGAGGGAGTACAACTGTTTACATGGATGGACAGTGACAGGACAAGAGGGAGTGGTTTTAAACTGAGACAGGGGAGGTTTAGGTTAGATATTAGTAGGAAGGTTTTCACGCAGAGGATGGTGAAGCACTGGAACAGGTTGCCCAAGGAGGTTGTGGATGCCCCATCCCTGGAGGCATTCAAGGCCAGGCTGGATGTGGCTCTGGGCAGCCTGGTCTGCTGGTTGGCGACCCTGCACACAGCAGAGGGTTGAAACAGGTGATCTTTGAAGTCCTATGATTCTTTGTCAGTCCTATCCAAACAGCCATTGTGCTATTCCATCCTCCTCTAATTTACTTCCAGAATTTACTTTTTCCAGAATCACCTTCATCATATCAGAAAGAGGGTGATGAAGAGGAGAAAACAGGAGCAAAACATTAAGACAGCATGCATGCTGGCTACTGAACCTTCACTCATTTATTTGACAACTTCTTGTTCAAGTTCTGTTTATCTTTATGCAACCCTTAAGAACTAAAAGCTAAAAAAAAAAAAAAAAAAAAAAAAATCTCAGCAAAAGAGAAATAAAGATATGAATACCTAAGCTATCCACATAAAGAATCTCCTCAACATAAAGAATAAAAAGAATGTATAGAGCTTACACTGTGACAAACCAGCCTGGGATATGCTGAGATTACAATAACACACACATACAGAATTTCAGAGATAACTTCAGCTCAGAAGAAAGGGGTTTTTGAGCCAAAGAAAAGTTTTACTAGCAATGTAAAATCAAAATATGTGTTCAAAGAGCAGTTTGCTGGAATCTTCTGTACTAACAGAGAGATTCAAGTTGGACCTTCTGCCACAGCTGTATTTACAAAGGAGAAAAAGCAGCATGTCTAGCTTTCATCTAAAAAATATGTTCCTACTTTCCGTTACCGTTATTGTAATTACTGGGTACAAATTCATTCAATAAATACTTTAAGGAGACTGTTGGCTTGGATTTAGTAATACACAAAAACAATCCCTTAAGATTTTGTAATGCATAAGGCAGAGACTATATTTGTCCTCTTAACATGTCCCACACTGACAACCAAATCAGCATTGCCTGGGGTGCTACCTACATCCAAATAACTGCTTCCTAAAAGACAAATCAAACTGTCTTCTGCCTCTCCAGGAAGCTTAAGGCAGCAGAGTGGTTCGAAACCACACTCGAAGAAAAGGCTACAATAATTCTTTGGGCTGTAAAACATCCAAGAAACAACATGGATGGGTATGTGTGCATCAGCCTCCTCAGTCCTCCGCACTCCACCCCCCCAAGCCCTGAACTCCAACAACAACAACAAAAATTCTGAAAGCATAATAGAAAAACACCAAAAAATGTAACAGAATTTCCAAGCATCTCAAAGGGAAACAGCTATACTAAAAAGAAGCAAGACTTATAAATGCTATGGGATGTTCTTGAGTTTTGATAAGAATGCCACTGAACCAGCAGACAACAACTTACTGCAACGATATAAAAGTCAGTGTCTCTACACATGAACTTCTGCCTTTCTGAAAATTCCTCTGTGTGACCTGAGAAGGAACTTGCTAATTAATGCTGCGTACAGCACTGCAAGTATTGCATTCTTTGTGACTACAGTGTGAAAGCTGAAGATAATAGGACTGGAATTCCACCAAATGCTCTAGGAAGAGAGGGTTTTAATTCTATTTTCAGAGATTAAATATAAATCAAGAGTGGAAATGTTTCGTTTAAGTACACTGGGCATTTAAAATTCAAAATGAGTGACTATGCAAGTTGGTTATAGATGCAAATAATGAGGAGGAAAGGCCCCAGACTAAGAGAAACATGGGTCTTTTCTTTTCAACATAAAGGGGAAATGATAATGGACAAAACAATAAAAAGACATAAATGAGACACTAGCCCCAAAGCAAAAACACTCTCGGGAGGATTTATTTAATGCAAGTGGATGGGAGTGTAATACTAATACTGGGAAAAGAAGAAAAACCAATGAGAAACTAGGACAAATATTCCAATCTGCTCTTCCGTGATTTTATGATTAGTGTATTTTTGACTTGATACTGATTTCTTACTGTAATTTCTTACATCCTTGGTAAAGGCAATGATGACATGTTTATAAGATTTTGGCACTTCCCTGAATTAATAACATTTTATCACATTACATTCACAAATTTCATCTGAGACAAGTAAAGAGAAAATCCTTTGTACTGCTTTGCATATTATACAAAGGCCATTCTCTTTACCCTGTGTATTATATTGACAAGCTTGGCTGATGAGGTAGCAGTGTGGTACATAGTTTCAGTTTTCACAGCGAGTTGTTCTTCCTTTGCAATGAATTATATTTTTGAAGACAGAATTATTTTCCTGTTCCAAAACACCATGAGCTGGAAATATTTGAGTTGGATGAATTGGAATGAGTTGAATATTTGAGTTGGATTTGCCAAATTTAGCAATTAGAAAGAACAGTTTTCCCCTACTTTTAGACCTCCTGCAGCTCCTTAAACAGGGTTAAAATGTTTAGAAATGCAGATCTAATGGGATTGGTCACTATCTAAACATTGATTCCAAGAGATCAGAGGAAGATGAAGTCACTTGAAGTGTAACGGCAAAAAACTTAATTAGGAGAAAGAATATTGGAAAAAGCTCTAGAGATTTCCATGCTTTTAACTAGCAGACATCTAGTTGCTTATATTTCTTTTAAGTTCTTGTGACTTTCTATGTTCTGTTCAAAATTTAACATTTTAAAACTTCTCAAATACAACTTGCAAACGAGTCCCATTTAACCATGCAACAAAGCCATAATAAGAGAAATTTGGTATCACAATTATTCCCTTGACAATAAAGTACACTGTCGAAGACTGAATTATATTCCTTCTCCAAACATTAACAGAAGTTATACAAATCTTATTCTCATATAAATCTTTAAGAAGCAACCGAGTAATCGAAAAAAAAAGTTACTTGCTAAGCTATGATTTAAAACCTTCTTACATGTGACATGGGGGAATGGTTTTCAACTGAGACAGGGGAGGTTTAGGTTAGATATTAGTAGGAAGGTTTTCACACAGAGGGTGATGAGGCACTGGAACAGGTTGCCCAAGGAGGCTGTGGATGCCCCATCCCTGGAAGCATTCAAGGCCAGGCTGGATGTGGCTCTGGGCAGCCTGGTCTGGTGGTTGGAGACCCTGCACATAGCAGGGGGCTTGAAACTGGATGATCTTTGTGGTCCTTTTCATCCTAGGCCATTTTATGATTCTACGATTCTATGTTTGATCTCCCTTTCATTTTACGTCTTGCAGAAACATCAAATTCTTCTTAATTTGGAAAGTAAAATAATCAGAATTCTGATTTTATAAACTGCTCGTGTATCATATGACCTTGGAAATACAGTTTCACCTTGGTTAATGCTGGTAAAATGCTACAGTTAGTGAGTGTTATTAAAGGAAGGATATGAAGAATAGAAAAAATAACTGGAAAATGGCTGTTGTATTCAGTAGAATTTCAGTTTACTTTTTTCATTCTCTGTCAAGCCTGTAATAAACTAAGCTAATTTGTGCAACCTAAAATGGTCATGTATTAAATTTGCAACTTTATGAAAATCACTGAAAATCCTACTTCCCAAGTATTTCCAGCTTGATAGGAGCAGGCAAAAGGCATTAAGAAAAGTAAGCACACAAGAAAACTGCAAATCCCACCTGATGGTCCAAATATATGGCATTCCTTTGAAGATGATGCGAAAGAATCTCATTCTAGAGGCAGCAGTTAGAGGGAAAAAGGAAAGGGACAGAAGGGTGCAGAATGCATGAAAAGAGTTTTTAAATATGTAAACTAGACAGTGAACTGTTTAAGACAGAAATATAATGTTACTTCGCCTGCCTTTTTGTGACATATTAACAAGTTTTGATCTTTAAACAGAAGTGATGAAATTTTGTCATGAATTGGCCTACGAAATACTACATTACATTTTGGCTCTACACATAAAATACAGAATGCTCACATGAAACGTCTACTATATTTGATTAAACAAGCAACTATAAACCCTTTGGTAAATATGTTTTAAATGCCCTAATACTTTCGACAGAATGCAGTAAGATCATATTTGATATGATGCAATATAAACAATAGATAAATCTCATGATCTTTTACTGCTATTTTTGCTTATAACAATTGGTTAAAAGCCTGCAACTTTAAAGTAAACAAGAATATATTTTAAAATATTCCTACATCGTTTAAATTCAGCTAATATCAGACAGCTATCTGCTAAGACCTCAAAGGGTTAATAACAGAACATCATATACACAGTCACATTCTATTCTACACCCACAGCAGACAGAGAATCTTGTACTATGGGTAAAACGCAAACTGATTAATGAATAACTAAAAGTTAGTGAGAATGGTACATGACACACATTGCTTTATAGCTGACCTTTGGGCTGTTGGCCTCAAGTTTTAGTTGCATGAGCTGTGCTAGTGTGTGTTCCCGGATACTACTCAGTTCAGCTTGCTGCCGTCTCAGCTTTATTAGCAGCAGCGTGAGCTCCTCTGGCTGAGGGAGTGCAGTGTGAGAAGCCAAAGAGTAGAAAAAAGGTTAATTGGTATCCTAAACAACACTTAAATAAAATAAAGCTTCTTATATCTTTCTCTAAATAACTTTTTATAGAGATACCACAAAAGACATACCATTTTTCCCAAATTGACCCTTTTCAAATATATAACAAAGGGTAAAGTTTTAACTACTTGAGTAGCAACTGATACTGCATATCCCATAAAAATTTCAACTTTCTGAGTGCAGGACAAAAAAGTGGGGATTTTGCAGAAGAAAGTCTGTGTGGCTCTCCAACTTTTTGGCATGCATATCAAACTGATGATATTGACTTCAGTGAAGGGGGATATAATTCCAACCCTTAGGATATCATTATCTGTATGGACAACCATTTGAGCTTGGTAGAAGGATAAAAAGTGCCCCCGACAAACTTTAATTCTTCAAATTTCTATGTTAAGATTAAAAGTAAAAACAAACAAAACTATTCCCATGAGATAGCTAGACCACGTCAGGAGCAAACATTTTTGACAAAATAGAACTGCACAAGCAGGACAAAAATAGTTTTCTTTCCTTCCACAGGTCCGAGGCACTGACTTTTGTAACTAAGATGTACAATATAGCCTCAGAAAGGGATAAAGGACAGTATTTAAAAGGTTGCATGAATAGAAAGTTACACTCATATGGGTACTTTTCAGGTAATTCTACACAGAATGGTGTAGGTCAATTTGGAAAAAGCTACCTGAGCCATTCCTGAGAGCCACTTCTATTAGCAACACTTCAAAGAAAATAAAACACTCTTGACATCGCAAGCAGATGTTATGTTCCAGTTTGCCTCTGTTTCTTACACTTCTCCAGAACTAAGTCTTAGAAGAAGTTAGACATCCATCCGACATTTCGATTTACTTACATGTTCCAGGAGCTTAAAAAAAAATCCAAACCACAACCCCAGAAACCTGCTTGCTCTCTTCCCCAGTCTCAGAATTTTCCCAAAGCAAGGAAGTACAGAACTAGGCTCCAAAGATCAAAGTGTTAAGTTACTGAAAACCAAATACCGGGTTCTTAGAATGTAGAAGAAAAATATCTGAGGATAAGCACGGCACTGTTATGAGCCTGTACCGCAGTACCCACAAGGGGGAGCAAGGTATTTCCACTCTGCTTCCGCTGTCAAAACCATTTGTTTTGAAGGAAAACCAGAACCAAAGTCAAGGTGTCCAATGGTCAATCTTATCCTTCTACCACTTTTCTAATATCTGGATTTAAGACGTTTGATTTCAGAAACTAAGCGTAAGAATCTAGACTACTACACAAGATGCTTTCACATTCTCTCCAAGAATATGCAACAATGCTTTCAGCTCTTTGAAAACTGTCATCTTTGAGAAGCACAAGAAATTTTTATTTTTAGAAACAACAGAATGGGAAGTAGCATCTTTGAAGAAAAGGAATAACAAATCAATTTATTTTCAGATCAAACCTTTTCTTGATACGGCTTGCAAAAGCTCAATTTTAGTGCATTAACAATAAACTTACTGACAGTATTTAACTACATCTGCAAACATTTTCTTTTTCTGTAGAGGAGTGCTAGACTTGTATAGCATTGCAAACAATTTTGTCATTGATGCCAGAGCTGTGCCTTTGGTATAACGCTTGGCACTCTTGAAACAAACAAAACTCAAGCATTTGTTTAAAGAGCTACCTGCAGGTTTCCTAATTCTGGCCCCTGTTATGCATGTGCTGTGGGCAGCACTTCTGGTTTGTACAGGCAGAAGCTTGGACCTCCTTGCCCCCTACCCCGCTCATCAGCCAAGCTCCAGCAAGCCCAGGAGAGCTGATGGGGCCAGGAACCCAAGAAGTATCTGCGAGAAATAAGGCATGGAGGTAAGGCACCAGCTGCCCTATGCTGTTGAAGATGCCAGGGATTCATGCTGGGAAGTGCAAGAAACAGCAGTCTCGGCATCCTTAAGATGTTCAAAAAAGGAAAACTTTATTTCTAGGATTTTCTTAGTAAGTATTGGAGGAAGAAATATTCTATGAAACAGAAGTCTCTGGGAAGAGATGGAATGTATCACAGACAATTTAAAAAAATCCTTCTTTCAGAAAGAAAATCTGGGCTCACTGAGTAGAATATTCTCAGAATTCAATTTAACCACCTTTTTAATAGCTTTAAAAAACTCCTTCTAATTAAAATAAAGGTTATATTTAATGCAAGCTTTGAACAGACAAAGACTTAAGCGTTGCCTCTTTATACTTAAAGTATTATTCTTATAAATAAATAAATAAGATGTACCAAATAAAAAATACAACTCACTGTTTTGCCTTGGAGACTCTGAGGAGAAACAGGCTGTAAACTTAGAACTGCTGGCATTGACCTTCTGTCAGGCAGATAGACATGCTGTACAAAAACAAAATTGCAGCGTGATCCATAGTTACCTAAAATCTCAACAGCTATTATGTGCTAAAAAAAGTCCAGCCAACTTAATTCTCACAACAAATCTGCTGCATTTTTGGGAAGCTTTGGCCAGTCATGTTCTCTCCTGACTACCATTTTTGACACTTGAGTAGGCTACCTCTAAATTTCAGAAATATCCCAGATTTCATTGTTCATATCATTAATAGTTCTTTCTTATAGTTGTTGCCATACTGATATTAAGTAAAGAACAATTTTAGTTCTCACCTATCTATCAATTATCAACTATTCTGAAAGTTGTTCAAAATTTCTAAGATCTTTATGTAGATCAGATGATTTAAGGCTCAGGTTTACTCTATTGATTTTAAACAGCCAGTCTCCTAACCATCTATTACTTAAAACACAGGTTTGTGTTTTTGACTTCATAGGAATGGTTAGCTGTGTAACTAAAGTAGGCTGGATGTGGCTCTGGGCAGCCTGGTATAGTGGTTGGAGAACCAGCACATAGCAGGGGGGTTGAAACTAGATGATCATTATGGACCTTTTCAACCCAGGCCATTCTACGATTCTATGATTCTAAGTACAAACTGAATGGCATGAAAAACTGAAGGGAAATGGGAGTCTTGTATAGAAGACACTGAACATGAAACTAATTAGTAGCACAAAGTATTACAGATGGAAAAATGAAAGCAAAACATGGCTGAAATATTATAGAAGCACACGCTCTGCAGCACCGATCTCAGTAATACTTCTGAGATTTGGGTGAAGAATTATTAGATTTTCAGTGCAATTGAACCTTTTTGTCAAAACAAAAATACTTCTTTGTTGATAGGGACCTAAATCATAAGGACATCTGAGCTAATGATTTAGCAAAAGGCTTCAGGAGTATTTTACACAGTCAACTCTAGGAAACTATATACTAATTTTACATACTTCTTTGGCACTCAGGTTTACAATTTTTAGCCTCTCTTTCACTGATGATGATGTTTGACTTTATGCTAGTCACATACAAAGGTTTTGTGCAGACTCCAGTTTTCTTTATTGATGACCCTAATAACTCCAAGCATCCAAAGAAATGTCTACCCTCAGTTTTCTGCTGGAACCCAAGGCAGCCAAAATTGTGGTTGAAAAACAGACAGTAATACGTGGAAAGAAATGCAGGACTTTCAGTTCTCTTGGAGTTCAGCTAGAAAAGCTAGAAGGGAGAATGTTTTCTACTCATAGAGCAAACTATTCTATTTTAGAGAAATGTAATCTCATGAACAGCAATATTAGGACCACATGTTTTTCTGCAACATATTACAATATCTTTTACAACCTATAGATTTTAAATGCTTTTTTAAATCAAGACTTTCTCCATGAAGGCAGCAGTGCCATTTAATCCCCATTTCAATAAAAGTTAGGACAGTCGAGAAAAAAGAGAGAGACAACAGTAATGGCATACTTTATAAAAAAACCCCTGCAAATAAGTTTTTTAACTGTAAGAGCATGTATTGTACCTTAGTATGATGTGCTCTGTGTCTCCGATCAATAGTTACATCTCCTCTTTGCACTGGTGAAGACACTTCTGATCTGTAGGTCCGCTGTGGGGAATACCCTTGGAAACCTGCTATTGAACCATGGGAAGGCGAGGTGGGAATTGAATGCATCGTCTGATCAGAAATATTGATCATCGTTTTTGGGCTACTTAAAGTACTGTGCCTAGTAAGAGTTGTTTGCTTATTGTAAAACTGACGTTGCTGCCACTCGTAGAGCTGCCACATCGTGTCATCACGCATTGACCTTCGTTTTTCTTCAGCTGTCACGGGTCCCATGGCTCTGTCGTAAGCTGATGGTGTCATGCTGCAGAGGCTCTCTGGCCTTGCTTTGCTGTTTCGGGGCAGAGTTCTGTAGCCTTCTGGGTACCGGGGTAAAGCTTGAGGTCGATGGCTTGGCATGTTTCTCGGTAGTGTCTGATATGAGATTATACTGAAACACAAATATATTAGTTAGTATATTAGTACATTATATTAGTTTATGTTAAAATCATGGCAATAAAAAGTTACTCAGTACTGATTAGGTTTATCCTGCCAGCTCTCATCATTTTTGAGAACTGTCATTTGAAAAAAATGCAAAACATCAAGATGATATTGCAGATGATATCAACATTTTTCAGAACCGTAGCAGCTGAAATCTTATTTCAGATTAACTGCCTGACAATTTAATCCCAATTTCATCTTTTCACCAGTTTAACCATCTAGTAATGTTGACTGTAGATCAAATCTGGTCTCCATGCTAGACACGACCAAGTTTTTTAAGCTTAGAATTTCTATACTGTTCCAAACATGAGTTCTTCTTAAATGCTCTCTTTTTGAAAAGTGAAAAAGTCCCCTGTTACATCTCTGAGAAAGAATTAAGCAGTTATGAAAAAACAGAGTGAATTTGTAACAGCAGGTTAAGGAAAAATAGCAATTATTGACAGAGGTCAAAACTGAGGTCATAAATATCAGTTCATTCAGCCTTTATCTAAAATTCTGATGTGCACCACTTAAAGTCATTTGCTTCTGAACACATCTGTGAGTGATGCTGGCCCAAAGACAAAATCTATCTCAAGCTGAACACGATGCAGCCATCAGAGGGCAGCAGTTTCCAGCTACGCCTCAGCAAGCCCAACTCAAATAGAAACCTTGGAACCTGAAAGCACCAGAGCCTGAAGTCAGATCAGAGCAGCTTTGGTGCCACAAACACATTAAAGAAATGATGTATAGTAAATGGTGAAGCACTGTGGGTATTAGATGCTTATGAAATGATTAAGGAAATTGACGATGGTAAGAAAAAAAAACACTTTTCACTGAATATAGCTGAATATTTATAATCGCTTGTATCATTTTGGAGATGAAAACTGTGGTAAACAGGTTTACAATACAAAGTCTATGGCAGATTCTGAATCTTTCCAAGAGTTAAGAAACTACTATCCCCATTTCATAGATTGGATAGCTTTTTATTCTCACAGAAAATGACTGTTAATCTTGTTCTCTTGCTGCAAAATCTGCCTACGTGACTCTACATTTCTTTATACAATATATAATCAATGGTAAGAGCTTTTCTCCATCTCCATATTAGAAAAACAACTGAGACATTTTTGGGTCCCTCTTCTAACTTTCATAATATTGTTTTAGTTATTCACAAATGAGTATGGTAAAGTCTGATATTGTCATGAAGGCAGCCAGTAGCTACATAAACCTCTTTCACTAAAGCTCCCCCTCTATTTTATTAATTGAATGGATGCTATAATCCTGCTGGCTCTTTTAAATATCTCAGTGTGAACAAGAGCTGCGTAAAGATCTTAATATGAAAAGACAGAAATCTGAAGTCTGCATGCTACTTATGTTTTAGAACATTTAGGAAGATAATGCATCCATCATTTATAGAATTGATCCACTGATGTCCTGTTGATACTTACATATAAATGCCCTTCCAGTCAAACCCAAAAAACAACTCTGGACAGTGCTTCAGCCTGGTAATGCTTTGCATGCAAAAGGACTGCCACAGGCAATTAAAGAGTCATACAGCCTGCAAGGTTGCAAACTCCTGCTGTCATAAATAGCTTCCTACTAGTGTTCCCATTAGAAGAAAAGTTTTCCATATGGGTTCACAGATTCAGTAAGAACACCCTCAGAGATGCTGGGCAGCACTACTTGCTCTGGTGTGCAAGCTGGGCCATGTGGGAAAGAGACTGCTGCTGCAGTTTTGGAGGCTCAGTATTCACACTTATCAATACCTTCTGATCAAAACCTCAAAACATTCCTTTATCCTAAGGAATGAAAATACCAACTGGCCTAGAATATTCAACCTTTATGTGGGAACCAAGCAAAGGATGACAAAGCAACAATGAACAGCTGGCGCTGAGCAGCAGGCACTTACTGCTTAGGGCACAGTGGGGAGACAGAGGACCCACCCTGGGCAAGCAGCGTCTCAGCAATGCACCTGGTACCAGGCGACCGTTCCTCTGTGTTTTAAACATTTGAGAAAGGTCTTACCGCAGCTAACCAGACCCTCATCCTGAACTGTAACATAAACTGGAGCTTCTCTCTGCTCTCAGCCATGAACTTCAGTTCTACTTAGACTCTCTGGCAATCTGAACGAACAAACAAACAAACCAAAAAACCCCACACATTTTAGAGACATCACTACACATTAGAAATTCTGGTGGTTACTTAAGACTGCTTCCATGCAGAAGCAAAAGGGACAGCAAAATATTCTTTTTCTGCTTCACAGAAAACAGAATGGCTTGGGTAGGAAGGGACCTCAAGGATCATTAGCTCTAGCCTCCATGCTGCAGGCAGGCCTGCCAACCTCTACATTTAATGGTAGACCAGGCTGCCCAGTGCTCCATCCAACCTGGCCTTGAACACCTCCAGGGATGGGGCATCCACAGCCTCTCTGGGCAGCCTGTTTCAGCACCTCACCACTCTTTCTGTAAAGAACTTCCTCCTGACATCCAACCTAAATCTTCCCTCCTTCAATTTAAAACCATTTCCCCTTGTCCTGCTATTATCTACCCTTTCAAGGAACTGACTTGTTAAAGCTTGTCAGCTTTCTGCCGAGTTGCAATTCAAAAGCCCGCTTGTGTCATCAGTGCCCCTCTTAAAGCAACAAGTGTCTCTATTATCAAGAACAAAATACTGTTAGTTAGAGAATATTCTTAATGGTTCTTCCCACTATAATAAATCAGTTTTAGGGTTCCGTGCTTGCTCACAATCAAAAAAAGGGCACAGTTCTTCAAATTTCTGCTGTTTGGATGCAAGTTTTACCGTGCAATTTAAAAAATTTAATTGCAACAAGGAATTTTCTCAGTTCTCATTATGCAAGCATACACAATAAAATAAATGTCAGGTTGTGCAACTCACTCTCTGTAGTGCAGATTCAAACTTGAGCAAACTACTTAGAATGAGTACTTCATGAAAAAACACATTAACTATTCCTAATTATATTTAATGAAAAAGTAAAGGCAGTGAGGAAATTTTTAACCAGTTTTGGCATGTGTGAGACAAACTAGTGCAAATTTTTGCTGTTTTGCAAAAACTTAAGAAGTCTCCAACTATAATTTCACATTTTAGGAAAACAGATCTTCTGAATTTGGTTTTATCATAAGCTCTGCTATGTATCTATAGGTGAAGTTCCTAACTTTCAGCTCTTCAAAACATCTCCCCAAATATCACCCCATTATTTCTAATCCTATGTAATATTCATTATTATTTTTCAAATATTTTACTGCTAGAACAGCTTGTCTGTAGGGCAGCCTGAAAGCAGTGCCAGAAAGAGAAATAGCTATCAGCACAAGATTTAATATTGTCAATCATTTACATGCAATTTCAAAGCTTTGAGAATATGCACAGGAGCTCAATATTAGAACTGGGAGATGTTTATTTTCACAAGAAAAAGAAGCTATGAGCATCAAGTTAGTTAGATTACTCTGACTTACTCTTAGGTAAAACTTCTATCTCTCTCTTTATTATAGTTTGTTTAAGTTTGAAAACTGACTGGAATATTTTAGAAGCATTTTAGATAAATATCGCTAGAAGAATTTGAACATAAAAAACACAAAGGAACAGGGCACTTACATCAATAGATTCTAAGAAGGAAAAATAATTCTTATGATTGATATCATTCTGCTAGGACAGAGCTATTTCTCACACCCCAAAGGGTTTTCTGACCATTTATTAATAGCTTAATAATAATCATTCAGTGCTAATAAAAGGTGAACTTTAAATCTGTTCTGAGTAGGAATCCAGGCATTTTTTTGTAGTGAACAATGCATAATATGTAATATTGTTCTCTATAAGAATATTTAAGTAATATGGATGGAAGAATAAAGCAAGTAGCCTGGATACAGGACTATTTGGTAGCAAGTCTAGTTAAAAAAAAAAATAAAATTACATAGCACTTACCCTCTTGCTTCCTCCTCTTGCCCTTTTCCTCTCTGTATTTTAATCCACTGTTCCAACTGCAGCATGGAATTAGTTCTCTGCATAACTCGTTCAGACTCCATATGTGGCTGAATTGCATTGTGCTGACCTCCATCTCCAGTATCTGCCAGGACAACACCAACAGCTTTATTCTCAGCTCCATTTAAATGAACTGGTCTGAAGTGTCCAGCCTGAACTGCGGTTATGGGTAGTGTCCTGTATTCTGACCCCAAAGGATTTAGCTTCACACTGTTAATTTTTGTTAATGGTTTATCTTGCCCGACTTTCTGGAATCCGTATTTTTCAGCTTCCAAAGCCTTCTTCTCTTCATTTTTGTTCACTTCTCTGTTTTTCTGGTTATTCTGTGCCTCTGGCTTAATTAACACCCGATGGTTTGAAATATTATTGGCCTCTCGAGGTGGTGTATTTTCAGTGGTGAACCTCTCAACTCTAGAAAGGAATATACAACAAGCTGTAACATCAAGAAAACATTCATTTTTAATAATAATAAGAAAAAAAAGTGAATCTCCTTCCTGCTTATCAGGGTAATTTCAGTGATCACTGTCCAGATATTTTAAACTACTATATTTGAGAAAAAAATCCAGGATGTATTTTTTCAATTATCAATGACAGCTTCTTTCTTTTTCTCTCTCTCTCTTTTCCCCCCTCACCCTCGATGCTTCTCTTTCTTTACTATTTTGAAAACAAATATTTATAAGTGAGGGCAACTTTTTTTTAAAAGACAGCTTCAAATTAATCCCCCTGATAAAATGTGCACTGAACAAGAGCAAAAAGCCAGACTCTGAAAACGCAGATGTTTGGTTCCCAGAGGGCTGGACATTTAAACAGTGAAAGTAATCAGTAGTTTTCCAAAAGCCCAGGCTTCCAGAAATCAACAGCCTGAAATTCACACTATTTTTAAAGCTATCTTTAAAAATGGTAGCAGACTACACTGCTGAATAGCTTATAATTCATGATACTACTGGATTTAACATATAACAAGATCCATTTAAGAAAACAATTGTTCATGGTCCCTGGCATGAATTAGGTTTCTCTGGTATGCCATCTCTTCAGACATCATACATTTTATGAAATAACTGTGGCTTCCCTAAGTTTAGAAGGGAAGATAGCTGCTGACTAAGGAAACCATACCACAAAAATAATGATATTTTTACTGCTTTGGAGTACTTATACAAGTAAAGAATGTATATGGTTCAATTAACCATTTTCCTTTTAAAATTTCAGAATGTCAATAAGCTGTATCTTCTTCATCCCTGGACATTATCTGAACATCCAGCTCAGACAGTGACATTTTTTAGTGTGATGTACTAGGAAAAAAAAAGAACAAAAAAAGCTGAAACTTTTTGGTCAACATTTTTGGGAATGGAAGGAAGTATTTGTTTTAAGATTACATCTCGTTATAAAACCAAACATTCAAAGAATAACATTTCATTTTATGATGTTAATTTTTCCAAACTTTTTGCATCCTTTTGGGGAGAAAACATTATTCATCTTTTCAGTTGGGTCCTGTTCAAGCACCTGATCTGTGTGTAGAAAGATCATCATGTATACAAATGCCCAAGAGCACAAGACCACTATGAAAAGTGATCTGCTTCTAAGTAACTACACTCACAACAGTAAGCATTTTTGCTTAACCAGACTTGAACATGAGGCCAAAATGTATAACAAGTCTACACTTCCTTCACATGTTGTTTAAGCCATGAATTCCCAATTCCCAACTGCAGTAAATATATAAAGGATGGAAGACTGTAATGTCCTTATAAAACATTATCCACAATTAATAAAGCTGACTGTTTAACTTTATAAGCACCTTCCATTATCAGAATATGATAGAATCATCACAGAATGGCTTGGATTGGAGAGGCTTTTAAAGATCATCTAGTTTCAACCCCCCTGTTCTGGGCAACTGGATCAAGAACTTATTTTATAAGTACACCACTTCAAACAACAGCAGGACATCAATGTCTGCTGCACCTTGTATTCGAGTTTGTGTGAAATACACAGTAAATGCTAAAATTTCTGCCAGTGAAAGACTGTAGAGAAATCTTAATGTACAACCAGTTTCTACATAGAAGGGGAGAACACGTGTTAGAACTGCTACATCTACATCACATTTTTTATAATTTCCAATTATCAGCAAAGAAATAGTATGCTTATCTCACTTTAAAAGTGAGGGTTAGGTTTTGGTGTTGTTTTTTTTCCCCCCAAGACTTTAGAGTATTCCAAGACCCAACATTTCTGTCTGGGTTTCTCCTTTAGGTTACACGAAGAAGTGGATCACCTCCTCCCTTCACCTCAAAACTCTATGACCTAATGTTTTACCACAAGCTAAAGGAATTTCCCAAGAATTAAAAATGTCATTTCTCACAATTATCAAGTCAAAAATGGCATTAAAATTTCATCTTTCAGCCAGCAAGAGTTTGCAAGTAAAGTACTCCTTTGGAACTAGTCCTAAACACAGGCTAGCATGCCTTAGTACTGTCATAATGCCACCAGGTATCCTCTTATGCAACATGTTACATCAGTTTCCTTCAGGGTGCTTTGCAGTAAGGAGTTGCCCTTTTACAGATGGAAAAACTGTGCTGCAAACAGAGTGGCATCTCTAAGGATATTCATCAGGTGGACAGAAAAACCAAGCCTTAGCATGGTGTTCTATTCACATTATCATGCTGGAGATGCTAATTGGAAAAAAAGAAAAAAATCACAACATTTTTTTCTTATCACTTGTTGCTATGGTTATACGCAGCAGAGGTAAGTATTTCAATTTTGACATTCTTTCTGATGATCCTTCTCATGGTGTGACATTCAAATTGATAAAAATAGACTTTGGGGCTTGCCTTTAACTCTGTGCATCAGATCAGACAACATAGCGTGAGCAAGAGATCTCTTTCAATAGCAGTTGTTGCAACCAAAAAAGAAACATCAGAAACTAGTATGCAAAGAAATAGAAATTCATATTTATGCAAATGTCAGAAATCCATATTTATTTATCTCCATGTTTGTATGTGGCTCTCAAAGGTTTTCAGCAAGGCTTGTGGGATATGTTTTGAGGATGGAAGAGGAAGAAGGCAAAAGAGAATGAGCATCAAATACATATCAAATACAGTTTCAAACTGTACACAATTTATTGATTTCTACTACAAAACAAATAATGGGAATGGTTCTATGAGGAAAAATACTATTTTCAGCTTTTATAAGCAAATATTATAAACAAATGCAAAATCCTAAAGCAGATGAGGGGGTTATGTAGTCAATTATCAGCCAAACATGAGGATGGCCCAAAGCCAGCTAGAGGCATTTGAAAAGAGAGAGCCATTTTTCAAACCCAGCACTGTCAGTAAGCCCCCGCTGTGGATGCTGTTATGCTAACAAGTGGTTTTTTGGCAGCTTAGCTTATGCTGTTCAGGGAGAGTAACTACAGGAGAAGAGAAAAATCTTCTCTCAGTACACAGTGCAGCGCTCAAGAGGAGGATACAATGGCTCTAGCACACGCAGTTAACAGTGAGAGTGGAGGAAAATCATGCTCAAATGATGGAGCATAGAGAAATAAGCATTTGGGATAGAGTGGGCTAGTGGATATATGCATGGATATTAACATCTGCAAACACAAGCAAGCAATCAATACCACAGACACAACTTGACTGCGGTCCGCAGTGATATGACAAAGAATGAGTACAATGTTTTGCTAATCCAGACAGGTTATTTGAGATCGTATTTGGAGTGATAAGCTTAGGCAGTTCCTTGCTCATTACAGTATTTCTTGTTATGATTTTGATGAGTTCCTCAGTATGTTATAAAATCTGAATTTACTATGTAGGTAAAATAAAAACAAAAACATTCAGAAAGGAGTAATTATAATTAAGTCAATAGGAGTAATTACTATTTGTCCTTTCCTGCAATTATACATCAGAAGGGAGCTCTTCTACTTCAAGCTGCTGATCAGTTCTAAAAGAAATTATTCTATTTTTCTCACCTCCCATTTCTGTATTATATGGTTCATTATATTTGGAAAGTAAGAGAATATCTGGTGGAAAATCTGACAAAAATAGCCCAAACAAATGTTTCAAAGATCTGTTTTATCTTTTTTTCTCTCTAAGGAACTCCTGTGCTCAATATAAATAAATGAATAAATAAAAAAATCAAGACATATTCCAGCTCTCTAGTTATTTGAACCTGACTACTGGGATGGTACTACAAGAGTACTGAAAATAAGGAAATCCCTTAATTTCTAGATTAAAAGAACTATACTGTTAAAACTTTGATTTATTACTGGGCAATCTATATTAACAAGAACAGAAAAGTGGCTCATTTGGGTTACAGAGTAAGTTTCTCCAGACATGGTATCATAAGCAACTTAGTCTGTTGGAAAACTGTGCTCAGTATCACACTAGAACTTCTAGAAAAGACAGAATGGAGAGCCAAAGGCATTGGCTGAATTTTTGATTCAACTCAAATAATTCATTCTTAAATCCATGTGCATGCCAAACTCTAGGTTACTTAAGAATGAGGTAATACCACACTAATTCTTAACAGATTCTTACAGGGAAGTATTTCTTCTGGGTATAAGATCACATCCTGCTAGATGGTCCATTTTAAGAACTGGCCTGATAGCTAAAAGGTGGACTCTTTAGAAAACAGATGTCTGGGAGATTTTTGTCCTTTTTATAGTTAATAGACATGAAAATTTTAGGGACTTCAATGGTCTTGAAGTATAACAAACCTTTCAAAGAGATCAAATTTCTTGGTTTTTGTTTTGTTTTCTTTTGTTTTGTTTTGCCTGAGTTAAAACAACAGGGTAGTGTTACAGACTTGCTTTTCCTGTTTCTAACACTTGTTTTGTCTGTCTGTAAGCCCATTCATCTAGATAACCAGGCAGGAAACTACTGATTTTGCTGTCAAGTGTTTTTCTACTATTTCAGCGTGTGCCACTGTGATTCACCAAGGACTAAGATAAGCAACTGAAGCAACACAAGGCAGATAGCAGGAGCATGTAGCTGGATGAAAAGCAATAGATAAGCTTAGCTATACTGGGAATCCCCACTGTTTGCCTGTACACTGTCAAGCATTTGAAACGGGCAGACATTTGAAACGAGCAGACATCAGTGTTGGAATAGGCATTGCAGCTGTAAGAAGGGGATAGGAGCATGACCAAACATTTAGGGAAGCTGAAATGTCCTTAACTGCCATGGGCTGCACATCAGTCATACTAAAGCAATCACGGAACCACAACCTAGAAAGAATGACTATCTCGTGAAGCTGGACCAACTGTTGAGGGCAAGCTTACTGCGTGTCTTGATAGGCTTTGAGGCAGCAAGCGTGACGGTACAGCTACAGCAATAAATCGAATAAAAGAGTGAATGTTTACAGCAACATTTTAATTTCATTTGTTCCTCATGTTAAAACAAATATCACAAATCATACTGTATAGCCCTTGTTAGTACATTTTAATTTGCTAAATATCCTTTGTACAACATTGGCTATCGCAGGAGAGACTATGAAGACACTTATCAAGGAGGTTCTGTCAGAATATTTTTTCCAATTCTTTTTTTTCTTTTACTGTAAAGATATGCATTCAAATATTCAGTCTTGTAGTACTGCACCAACCAAATGAAGGTCCTTTCATTAGTTCAGAAAGTTTCAGAGTGCCACATATCAATATTACTCTTCCTACAGTGTTTACATATTCAGGATAAGATTTTTGTTTGAAGTGAAGTGGGTCTAATTTGGTTTAACCATTTTTCTGTAAGCTATCACCAGCTATCTGCAATATACTTATAATGCAAGCCAACATTGAGTTTTAAATTTAATTTATTATTGACTAAGTTAAATGAGATATTTTGTCATATGATATGTTCATTATTTTAAGTGCAATGGCTTTAAAAAAATTCTCAATCAGGAACTTAAAAGGTAAAAATGTTACCATCAAAAAAAGCATCGACCTGTTTATACTCTTATGCCTCTCTGCTTATCTTTTCTGCCACATCATCCAAACAAATGGTGGATTACAGGGCACAAAACATGTTTATGTACAGTATGAAATCTTACATAATAAGATAGATGTCATTATTGTAATTGAACCTTACCACTCCTCATTTCTACAAGCTGAAATGTTTTATCTTCTTCTGTATTTTATGGAAAATAGACATTATAGCTGACAGACTGGTGTGCTATTTTTTCCAAAGTGTGGAGAACAATGTTTTTTCTGTTAATCTGTTACACTATGCTGTCCAATGCTAAGAATGAAATACTTCATATACTATTTATTTACTTAAAAGATATTAGACAGCTAAGGTTTCAGACTGATGATTAAGATTTGTCACTAAAACACTTCATAGGTGCCACTTTGGAAGTGTTCCCTGTTTATTTTTACTGCCTGAATGTCCCACAGATTGATTTGAGTAAAAGTTCCAGTACATTTGACTGAGAAGCTCACAAAACACTATAACATCTAAGATTACAAGTGTCTAATCATTCTGTTTTCCACTTCATGCTTCTACCAGTACCATATCAGAATACAGAATGCAGAAATGGCACAACAAGTTAACGGCAACAACTTACAAAATTGAGGCAAAATTTAGAAAGACACATCTTTCTAAATTTTCTAAACATCTATTTTGACAGATGTAATGTGCTCAGATAGAAATTGTAACCTTGTCTTTATTTGGTACCTATGTCTATGGGTTTTTATTTATTTTTATACTTAAGATTTCTCAGGCTTGCTGTCACTCATTTAGCTCCAGCATAGAGGGACCTAAGGGAGTGCAGAAGTAAATCATGTGAGAGCAGCCATCAGCAACAATTTCTGTGCCATCAATAACAAGCAGCTTTTAAATTTTCTACTGATGAGGTTTCCATTACAGATGTCACGAAGCTGGCCCAAGGGATCACAATGAGAAAGAAAACAATTTTTACTGGGCAGATAGCAGCAGGCAATATTCAGTTTCTGAGAATGCCTGGCTTCCAGTGATGACTCACTTTTTGTTATCAACACATGGACATATAAAAGATAAGTCTCCTGAACAGGTAAGTATAATTTTAATAAAAGCATGATGAACAGGAACATGCAGACCCATCAGTGGAACTGTTTCATTTGACAGAAGCTACAACTGTGAATTTCGTACTTAAGACACATAAAAGACAAAGACTACCACCAGTTAAGATATTATAGAAGAGAATCATAGAATCATAGAATCACCAAGGTTGGAAAAGACCTAAAAGATCATCCACTCCAACCGTTCACCTATTCCCAATAGCTCCTACTAAACCATGTCCCTCAACACAACATCCAGTCTTTCCTTGAACACCCCCAGGCTCGGTGACTCCACCACCTCCCTGGGCATCCATTCCAGTGCCTGACCACCCTTTCTGAAAAGTCCACCTTCCTCATGTCCAGCCTGAATCTCCCCTGCCGTAGCTTGAAGCCATTCCCCCTGGTCCTATCACTAATGACACGAGAGAAGAGGCCGACCCCCAGCTCACTACAACCTCCCTTCAGGAAGTTATAGAGAGCAATGAGGTCTCCCCTGAGCCTCCTCTTCTCCAGGCTGAACATTCCCAGCTCCTTCAGCCTCTCCTCATATGGCCTGTGTTCCAGACCCCTCACCAGCTTTGTTGCCCTCCTTTGAACACGTTCCAGGGCCTCAATATCTTTCTTGCAGTGAGGGGCCCAGAACTGGACACAGTACTCGAGGTGCGGCCTCACCAGTGCTGAATATGGGGGAAGACTCTGGGGAAACCTCATTGTGGCCTTCCAGTACTTGAAGGGAGTGTATAAATAAACAAGAGGGGGTATGACTGTTTACATGGATGGATTGTGATGAGACAAGGGGGAATGGTTTTAAAATGAGACAGGGGAGGTTTAGGTTAGATATTAGTAGGAAGTTTTTCACACAGAAGGTGGTGACACACTGGAACAGGTTGCCCAAGGAGGCTGTGGATGCCCCATCCCTGGAGGCATTCAAGGCCAGGCTGGATGTGGCTCTGGGCAGCCTGGTCTGGTGGTTGGTGACCCTGCACATAGCAGGGAGGGTGAAACTAGATGATCTTTGAAGGCCTTCTCAAACCAAGCATTCTGTGATGACTCTATTGTTCTTCAGTGAGAAGGGCACAGTAAATCAAAGATGCCTGCACACAGCACTTGCCATTAATGGTGCTTTCTCTGATGCCATAGGCTAAAAGAACTTGTCAGTTTTTTCCTCCTCTGTCCTCTTACGCTCAAGGCATCTGTATTCATAACAAATCTGCAAAATTTTATCCAATATTGTTAAATTAGTAGGAATTCTTTGACAGAAAGAGTAATCACCTCAGATGATTTATGTTATATTTTAAGTTCTATTTTAAGGCGGTCTCTTCATTTAAATAAGTCAAATTAAACGGGAGAAAAAGGTATACAATTCCTCTGTTTTATGAACCTACATTACCTTTTCACTGGCTCTGTCTGCACAAGTGCTGCATCTGTCATGGCTTTCATCCACAACTCCATTTCCTTTCCTGTATCTGTGCAGAAATAATATGTCCTCATGTTTGGATGAGCTGCCTGATTGGAAATGACATGGTCATTGCAATAAAAATATAAGATTCTGTAAAAGAAAAGAGGCAAATTATTTTACTATATAAGTACTGTAATTTCTTTTATAATAAAATTTCTGAAAATTATATTGTCAGGAAAAATATCTGAAGAAATATTTCAGTGTTATGTTTCTGCTTCATTGTATTTGTGTTTTCCAAATAATGGTCTACAATATTCAGTCATAGCTGTTTCTTCATTAACGCATCTGATAAAAGACCCTTACAATTATTTGTTCTATTAAAAACAATCTCAATTATTCATTAATGTAAATTAATATAGTTAATTAATGTAAATAAGACTTTGGCATAGATTTTTTTGCCATCTTGATGATACAGTAAATTTTAGTTTATACTCACCACATTAAATAAAAGATGTGTTGCTTAGCAGGCCAAATGAAGAACCAAAAGGAGCTCATAAAACACAAAAAAAGCCAAAAGAGAATACTTAGTAAGTGACTTATATAATAATTAAAGATTAGCTGTGAAACGCTCCTAAAAGTGATTCATATTTGTGATTTAATTAATAATAAAACATTATTTTTATTTATATATAAAGATACATTGTATCTAAATAACTACAAAACTTTTCATTTGTGGGTAAGCTTAGCTGTGGATGCAGTTTGCATTTCTAAAACACCCCACAGCATTTAAGAGCAATGAACTAAAAATAAATGACTAGTAACACGTGATATTTATCCATTTTCATACTCTAGTAACCATGTCTGTATTTAAATCAGACTAAAAATGTGAATCCTCTGCTACCATATTATGTAAAATACAATCTCAGAAGCTGTTTGTAAATACTCTTTTTTTTTTTTTTTTTTTTTTTTTGCATAGCAACTCAGTAAAATGAGTTCTGATCACTAGGTTATTGTGTTTTCAGACATAAAATAAAACAAAAAATTGATTTTCTTACTTTAAAGGCATATTTCCGGTTAATATGGTCCTCAGGAGAAAGCACAGATATCTGAAAACTGGGTAGAAGTATACTACCTAGTATTCCTTCTTCTTTCTCATCTGTGAATAAATACTCTTTGATTAGAGAAACGAAGTATTTTGATGCATAATACTCCAACTCAAACACTTAAATGAAAATCTCTATTTAACAACACATGGCCAGTAACAAGAAACTTACTGGCTCAGCTGAACATGAGCCAGCAGTGTGCCCACGAAGCCAACAAGGCCAACAGCATCCTGGCTTGTATCAGAAGGCAGGATGTAGCCAGCCAGCAGGAGCAGGGGGATAATTGTACCTCTGTACTCAGTCTTGCTGAGGCCACACCTTAAGTACTATGTTCAGTTTTGAGCCTCTCACTACAAGAATGATATTGAGGCCCTGGAGTGTGTCCAGAGAAGGGCAATGAAGTTGGTGAGTGGTCTGGAGCACAGGTCTTAGTGGGAATGGCTGGGGGAACTGGGATTGTTCAGTCTGGAGAAGAGGAGGCTCAGGGGAGACGTTATTGCTCTCTGTAACTACCTAAAAGGACACTGTTGTGAGGTGGGAATTGGCCTCTTCTCCCATGCAACTAGCAGTAGGACTAGATGGAATGGCCTCAACTTGAGCCAGGGGAGATTCAGGTTGGATGTAAGGAAAAATATATTTTCCAAAAGAGTGGTCAGGCACTGTAAAGGGCTGCCCAGGGAGGATGTTGAGTCACCGTCCCTGCAGGTGTTCAAGAAACATCTGGATGTGGTACTAAGGAACATGATTTTGTGGGGAAATATTGGTGGTAGGTGAATGGTTGGACTAGATGATCTTGGAGGTCTTTTTCAACCTGGGTGATTCTCTGATTTTGGAAGAAAACACATTGGAGAATCCCAAAACCAGATCCATTTGTTACGCAGCTACCTATACAGGTTTGTATGATCTTGTAAGTGTGTGGCCCAAAAAAACTGCTCAGCACAATGAAATCAATCTAAGCCATCTGAATATGGCCACTTTTGACATCTTCCTCCAAGATGGACAAGTATAAGAAGACTCTTGAAAGTGCCAATTCTGTATTAGTTTAAAGACATGATCTGTCTCATAGAAAACACCATGAATAGCTTCACCTGGAGGTTTTTCCTGTGGATCAGTGCTTAACTGTGTAAGACTTCAAAACTGAAAAGGAGAAGGAAATTTAGCCTCTAATTTGGTGGCAGGAGCAATACCTGAAATCTACTGTCTACTCAGTAGATCTGCACATTCTTCTAACCATTCACTGATACTGGGCGTATGAAGCTAGGAAATTGTTATAATTTCCCTGAACACTTTACACTCAATTACATTCTATTTGTATGAATAAATACATGTCAGATCATTTGCAAAACAAACAGAAACACCCTTTTCACTGAACCTTGTTTTATATACAATTTAAAGAAAATGACTTGTAAATAATAAATTGACATTTTAATTGGAAGCCACAACCAGCTCTCAAATCCAATTATGCCTTGATAAAGGAATAATTGGATGCAATTCACAAAGTCAATCTTAATTGTATTTCAGACAAAGAACTGCGATTCACATCCTGTATCTTAGAAGATCTTCTGATAAAACTTCTCACAGTTGAAGACACTGTCCAATACAAATGTTATGTATCTATGAAATTAAGATGAAAAACTGATACTTCAAGTTGTTTCAAGCAAAGAAAATTAATGCCATTACAATTAGAAGATTTATAGAAAAATATAACAGCACAGAAGAACTGTGGATTCAAATGTGGATTTGAGAATCTTCTCTTGGTCCTCATCTACTCACTAAATTCTGAAAAGCTGCATCTTTCACTGAAGTTATTGATAACGGAGAAGTTCTATCCAGATATTCTAGCATTACATGAGATGTTAGATGTAAAAATTATGCTGTCTTAGATAGCTTTTTAACTGAAGAACTTAGTATAAAAACATTTTGATTAAGAGATAAAGATGAAATGCAAGAAGACTTACGTTCAGGTGTACTCAACTGTCTACTCATATTCATGCCTGAAACCAGGCTCCTCCCTCCAAACATTTTCTAGACACACACAGAGGAATTTTGCTGGTTTTTTTTCCCTGTTCCAGAATGTGTGGCAAAGTTGGGGCTTTCTACTTTATTTGGACCACTTTTGGGGGAGAAATATTATCTTCTGCTGTTAGACTACACTTGAACTTGTTTATTACCATGTCACACACAACAGCGTCACATAGAAGCATTAAGCATTTTTGTTGCACTTAACAGCTATGTATCTGCAGGACTCTGGTCTTTGCTAACACATAGTGCTACATTCCATTTCCGGATTTTTAAAATCTGTTTCCCATCAGAACAGCTTTTATCTACACGTTATACTGCCCCAAACCCATCTTTACTTGTCTGCTGTGCGTGAATAATTCAAGGCAAAAACAGCAGATCTTCTGTTCAGTTCAAAGGTCTTTTATTTGTTGCAACAATAACCTTCTGATCTGAGAGCAAGCAGTCTTTTATCCACCAGTGAAACAAAAAAACAACATTCTCTAAGCTCTGGAAAAGTACAGTGAAATCATTTTTCATCTACAAATTAAATCTAATCATTAGCTGCTAACACTGTAACACAACCATAAATCTTCAGTAAGATTTACTAACATAAAAAACAAAAACAAACAAACCAAAACAACAACAAACCAGTAACTACAATCAGGCAACCAGAAATCCTGTTTGGAGTCTAGGAGCACTCACCCCCTTTCTATTTTGTCAATACCTGAGAGACAATTAATACAAGAACTTACAAGCACTGGGTCTAAGTGTCTATTCTTTTGCTTTAATATTCTAGCTATTTTGAATACTTTTAAGACTCACTGTGCATCAGTTTAGCGAGTTTGTAAGCTTTAACTGCTTTCTAGTAAGTGTGATAATTAAGTTTATCTTGTAAACAATTTAGACTGCTTGTATTTCAGCTTATGTGGTAGATTACAATGTAGAAAAGGAAACAGATTATAGAGCTGCTTGGATTTACTTTATTTATTGTTGAGATTTTTTCAATCTTTGATTTGCAATACTTTAAGTCAGTTTAATCTGTTCACCACCAAATGGCAAAGCAGCTCTTTCTTTAGAACCTTTGGAAGAGAAAGCTTGGGGACTTGTTTAAAATCAGAAAGCTCCATAAGAAAGCACAGAGTACTTAATGACCACTTGCTTAAATGCAGCATAATTGAAGCACAATTGATGCCTCTATGATTGAAATTACAGCTTAATTTTCACTCCACAACTGTTTATCTACCAACATATATGTTTTGGATAAAGAAACAAAGCCTAATGATTATATTTCAGTAATTCAGAATTTGTTAACTAAAATGGTCACAAAGAACAAGCTTTCATATTTCATGACCTATTAGTCTTGTTTAGCACAGGCACATGCTGCTCTGAATGGAACAGCATCTTAATTTCATCAGTCACTGCTTTCAGGGTTATTAGCATCAACACTACTTACTACCAATTCAAAAATCTCCTCATAAGCTGAAAATCTCTCTCATCCTCCACAAGACTGCAGATGGCCTTCATTGTTCATTTTCCTCCATTTTGCCAAGCTTTACACTCCTCTTTGCTCTCAGCCTCCTTTAAACTATTATCAATGTACACCTTATTTCAGAACTGAATGCATTTCCATATGCACAAGTCCTATTTATTTATCCTCTCAGGAGCACTACAGTTAATAATCTGTAATGATGAAGAAACCAATTTTCTAACATACACATATGCTAAGACTCAAATTGTAACCAGCTAACTTTTCCCTGTAAAATACACTGATGTAGCTACTTAAAGGTACAAATTATTTCTACTTTGTTCCAAATACAGCAGAGACTTCTACTCATGTGGAACTTGACAAAATTTCACTTTGTAAGTATTCATGAGCACTGATTAGATTCCCAAAAGGCAAATATATCCTCTATATCATTCCAAAGGCAAAGTTTTGGCCCCTCTCCACTATTCCTTTCATATCCCCATTTCAGTTAATTAATTTGCATGATAAATCAGATTTAACTTGGCATATTTACTTCTTAACAACAGAAGTAGTGAGACAACTAAAACTCATCATGTGAACATATTAAAAAGGTGGCTGCAAATGGGTTTGCCCTTTGAGCATTCCTGACAGGCAGGAAGCAATTACATGAAATTGCTAATTAAGAAAGGAAAAGATAAAAGTAACAGGCCTGGATATTGGCAGCTATACAAGTATTTGATCCATTAAGTCAAGTAGCAGCTTCTTTTTTCCTATATTTGAGTAATATGTCAAAATCTATCTGCTTGCAGTAGAATTGGCAGGCAAGCCTTTCCTGAATGGAACTTACCCCTGTAATAGAAGAGGCACAGATCTGAGAGCACAAACCACCGCTTCTTCCACAACTTCATTCCAGTGCTGTCCTGTATTAATAAAAGCAATCACATAAGTAAATGGTAAACGGTTCACAAAGTAAACTGGGTACCACAAAACTGGAGTGGTGCGTTGTTCATTTTCTCAGCTAAGTCTTATTTTAAGTATCTTTGATTTTTCACTGCAGAACTGACACTGCAAATCATGACGATAACGCCAGGGAGCCTGATCTTATCATAAGAGAATGGATGAAACGAGAGCCCATTATCTCATAATGCTAGAGCCCAAAATCTACACTAAGGAGTAGATCTAAACTTTTTTTTTATTTTATTTTTAAGTGCATGAGTAATTATAGTACTTAAAAAGACACCCTTTGTTTTCTGAAACCATCTACTAAGCTTCATCTTCGACCACTATTCATTCACTATCTAGAGCAAATTTCTTTCCAACCAAGTTTCTTCTTAAAGCAATTTCATTTTCATTTATGTTTATAATCCATTTATACCACACAACTCAGAATGAAAGATTGTCACTAGTGCACTGTAAATAAGCTAAAGCACTGCAGCATGCACACATATCCTAGCAGAATTAGATTTAATAAATATGCTAATTTTCTCCAAGAAGAAAGGTACATGTGAATTATCAATATTCTTTTAGTGAATAGGTTTTATGACAACCAAGACGGATTCAATAATGAAATCCAGAACTTTGCCTATACTCAAGAAATTGTTAGCATTATTTTTAGCCTCTTATTTCAAACTCTGCCCTGTTTTTGGGGTGGGAGAAGAAGATGAAGGATGGAAAAGAAAGGTTAAAGCAAGCATTAGCTATGCAACATTATACAGAAAAAGTTAAAAAATAATCCTTTGCTACAAACATTTTCATAGATAGAATAACTCAACGTTTTATAGCCTATTTCTTCTAAGGAGTTCACAGTGATTTAACAAACACTAATGAACTCTGGAAGCACTGTCCATAGCAGTCAGCTCCTATTTCACAGCTGGAAAGGCAGACACAAAGGGGGCAGACTGGCTTCCTCCCCTCACTGACAAGGTCACTAACTCGGCAGTGGATTAGAACACAGGAACTCTGGCCCTAAGGACACCAGCCATGAAAACCAAGCCTATGATTTGAAAATCCCCAAACTTCTTCAGTGTAAAGGATTACCTCAAGCCTTCAGATGGACTTGCTAAAAATCAGACTACTTCCATCAGTCAAAAACACCAACAGGTCTCTACATGGACACATGCATAATTCTCCCAAAAATGACCCATTCCAGGAATGATCTTTCTACCTTCCTTACTCATAGCAGAAGAATATACAAAATGAGTATGTGGCTCCCATATTTTGATTTTTTTTTCCCTACTTAAGACCAAATCCCTTCTGTATCAGTAATTTACAAATTATTTTTCCCCTCATTATTATGATTATGTCATAATTACTAGAAGAATTACACAAAATTGGCATTATATTCAATGAGATAGCACACACCCTGATTCAAACAAAACTTACTGTTCTCTGTGAGTATACGGATATGCTAAGAAAGTTATTATATTACCAACAGAAGTCAGCAGAGATTTTTACTGTAGATTTTTGTCTGTAGATTTTTGAAGACAATATCTATTACTGAAACTCACGAGTAAATTATTTTTCAATTAACAACACAGAAACATATAGCAACCATTTCTTACAAAACACAGTCAAACATTTCAGCATTTAAACCATCCTACATACAAATCCTGTCCAATGACATGCAGCTAGACAATGAAGTGGACAGAATGTTGGCTGAAACGCTGGACCCAGTTGGCAGTCATCAGCAGGTGATGAGGCCAGTTACTATTGAGGTATACCAGGAATTTACACCACGGGCAACACTTTTTAACTTCTTCATTAACGACCTAGACACTGGCACAAATTGCACATGCAGCAAGTTTGCAGATGGTAAAACTGTGCGTAGTGGCTGATATACCAGATGGCTTTACTGCCATTCAGTGGGACCTCAGCAGGCAGGAAAATTGGGCAGAGAAGAATCTCATGAAGTTCAACACTAGAAAATGCAAAGCCCTGCATCTGCTGAGGAATAACACTAGGCAACATCACACACTGGGACTGATCAGCTGCAAATGAGCCCTGAAGAGATAGCTGGTGGGGTCCTGGTGGACAATAAGATGATCATGAGCCAGCAAGGCAACCTCGTGGCAAATAAGGACAACAGCATCCTGGACAGCATTAGAAGTGGTGCCAGGACGTACAGGGAGGATACGCTCTCTACTCAGCAGTCCTAAGGTTTATCTGCAGCACTGGGTCTAGAGACATGGATATAGTGGCACACAGCAAAGGGCCTCAAAGATCATTATGGGATTTAAGCATTCTCCATTCTCTGTGTGAAGAGAGGCTGAGAAACCAGAGCCTGTTAAGTCTAGAGAAAAGGCAGTTCAGAGGGAATTTTATCAGTACCTGATGGGTAAGAGAAGATGGAGCCAAACTCTTCTCAGTGGTGCCCAGTGACAGGACAAGAGGCAATGGGCACAAATTTAAAGCAGTGAAATTACATCTAAGCAAAGCTTATTTAATTATTTAAGTTACTGTGAGAATGACCAAATGCTGGTACAGATTGCCCAGATAGGTTCTGCTTAGTCTCCATCTATGGAGATTGAAAATCTAACTGGACACAGCTCTTGGAAACTGGCAATAACTAACTCTTCTTGAGTAGGGGAAGTTGCAGCAGACGATCAAGAGGTCACTTCAACCTTAAGAGCTCTGTGAAAGCTACTCTTTCTTCATTAGGAAAATACTACACTGAAATTGACTCTATAATAGTAACACAGAGCACAGAGGCCACAAGAGTATCTAAACAAGGGAAAAATCTACACCTAATGTATACTTACTACTAAAAAATTCTGCTACTATAGAAGTTTCTATCTGTTTAGTAGTAGATTTTTAAAACTCATCAACAGCATCCAGGAAGCTAGCTGGGTCATTCTATTCTATAAGGGTCAGTAAATTATAAAAATACATTCAAAAATATGTATACAGAGTGCCTCCGCAGAGTTTAAATGCCAAATTCTAAACAGATCCTTAGTGGATTTTAAAAACATACACCAAATATGACTGAGTTGGTTTTGTTGTCTCTTGCAGGGCAAGAAGAATGCAAATAGTCTGATATTGCTGACTGGAGAATCTACAGTAGGCTGAGTATGCTGCCACTAAATAGAAAAGATCAAATGCATCAGATTAGTTTACTTCCAAATGATTGGCTTTTGTACATTATACATCTCATAAAAAAAAACCAAAACCAAAACCAAAAAACAATCAACAAAAAAACCCACTCCAAAGATAAGAAGAGGAAGAATACCTGTTTGTAGAGCCAGCCACGTCTGACAACTGGTGCATTAGGATTTCTCTTTATTGAGTTTGATCTCTTTCCAAAATTATGAACCTTCTTTGATGATCGTGATGTCTAAATTAAATTGAACAGGTTAAAGGAAACGTCATATCAATATCTGTTGAAAAATCATAATGCATTTTCATGTTTTTTTTTTCCTAAATCTTTTCCTTACACATCTCTCTGGAGGACTGCAGAACATAAACTGTATTCCTTTTATAGATACATAATCACAATGGTTCTGCTGGCTTCAGCAATTTGTTTTTTTTCCTTTGCAGAAAATTCAAAGACAAAATCCAAGACAAATACTTACAGATTTTATTTATTTATGTAAAGAAGAAAAAAACCAAATACCTATCAGATCTACCTATCTGATCAGGCAGATAGCAAATCTACCACGGTGTAGTTTTAGTTCTTTCTAACAGAACTACTGCAATTACAAAAAATTACGTCACCTGGACAAGAAAAATCAAATCTTTCCTGCTTCTAACAAGGACTTAATGAATGAAACATAATCAGATTTCAACAGGACATAATTTTCAAAGGCTTTTCTTGAGACTCCCACTTTTGCACGCAGCAACTTTCTAAAAATCCCTTTTCTCCTTGAAGACCTTCTCCCTATAAATCTCTTGGACGGTTTGAATATGCAGTATTTCACCTGCTTGCACTAAGGCCTACTTTGAGTCCTTTGTCCCGAATCTCCAGTGCTCATTTCTATAGTTGCTCACACCTTCTATATCCTTACAGCTATGCAGATCATAGATGATTTCTTCCTTCTTTTACTTGACAAAACAAAACAAATTCAAAAAGGCAAAAAGAAATATGCAATGCTTGGCCAATTCAGATTTAATTCCTTTCAGTCTACATTTAGAAATTTTGCTCTGCAACTAAATAAACTGAATGTTTATTTTTCAATTTCCATAAGATTGGGGTCTTACAGACCCTGCAATGAGATGCAGCAAAGCACACCATTTTGCAGAAGGAAAGCCCAGATAAGTTTTCTATGTGCTTGGCTCTGCTCGAACCCCACTATTTTAATTTAGACAGTATAATCCTGTGCTTCAGCTTCCCCATCTCTACTGCTGAGACTGATCATAAGGTTATGCAAAGTTCCTAAATGAGATGCTCAAATGGAAAAACTAAACACAGACTCATTTTTTGTTGAAAATTAGAGCATGAGGTTTCTCTATGAAAATTCAACATGCCTCAACGATTTGCATGGTTGTTATTATACATATGTTGGAGAGAATTCCAGAGTTAAAAATCAAACTGAAAGCTGCAATTAAGAACAATGTGCAGCTTTTGTCAACGATGCCACTTACTGAAGGATACAATATAGCTTAGTCTGAAAAGAATGACATTACAAAAACTATGCGTATTTGTCTGAAGTCTACAACACAATGAAACGAGGTCATTTTGTGTTTTTCTTTTCTTTTTTTGAAGAATCAGGAGGGAATATAAGAACAATCAAAGTACTTTTAATTTCCCTTAGAGACAGAGAAATTTGACTCAGCTCTGTTTGGAAAGCAAGACAGAGTAAGTAATTGTAGTCCTAATTCAAAATGAAAGTAAAATCTTTCATATTTTCATGTGCAAAATTCTACCACTGCAAAATGGACAAAAGTTTTTAAGAACACAAGAGAAGTACAACATGCAGGTATAAAAAAGGAAAACACAGAGAAGCCCTAACATTTCAGAGCACATTATATAAAGTAAATCTACATCATAGAATCACAGCATATCCTGAATCAGAGGGGATGCACAAGGATCAGTGAGTCCAACTCCTGGCTCCCAGGTTTGGAGCTGTGCCTGCTGTCCTGGGCAGCTTGTTCCATGCCCACTGATGCAGAACCTGTCCCTTTTACATCTTCCTTATGTTGTGGTGCCCAAACCTGCACTCGGTGCTTGAGACGAGGCTGCACAGTGCAGAGCGGAGCTGGACAACAGCCTCCCCTGCCTGGTGCTGATGCTGGATATGATGCACCCCAGGGTACCAGTTGGCCCTTTTGGCTGACAGGGCATTCTGCTGACTCATGTCCAATTTGTCATCAGAAAGAACCCCCAGATCCCTTTCTGCAGGGTGCTTTCCTGCCTCTCATCTCTCAGTCCATTCATACATCCATACAGACATCTAAGTTAACTTGTATGGATACTCTATTGCCATATTACACAAAAGCAGTGCCAAGATTTTGATCAGAAGCAATTTGTAATGCTCATGCATCTCGAACGTTCAGAAGCTCTTAAGAGTTTGAAACTTCCTATGCTTGTTACATGGCCAACACATTAAAGATGCTTCTGAAAACAACATAAGTCTTTCAAGTCTACTAGCAAATTCAGATAATTTAAATAGATTTCTCTTAGGTAAGTCTGATTAAAAAAAACCACAAAAAACAAACTGACTTCAATTTCACTAAGCTCTGAGCAAAGATTTAGTAGGTTGATTACACATCTTACTAACTGTGAATACAAATGTCCATTAATTAAATAGAGCATCACAATTGATTTCTAATTTTAGCAAATACAGAGAACACTTTTGGTGATTTATGATTATTTTACCATTAATTTCATAATGAGAATATCTGCTCATAATTTCTAAGCCTCAAAGACAATTATTATTTTAGGGTATTTAAATATTGTAGGTGTTCATATAAACTAATTATCAGTTTTCAAGCTTCTTAGGCCATCTCCTCCTCCTTTTACATCTGGCATCCCTGTCCATCCCACATTCCCTTCACACACAAACCTGACATAAAAAGAAAAACAGGAACAAAAGAAATAATCAAGAATTAGAAGGATTAAAATACTTTTCACCCCACAACACTGTAAGTAGAGGACATATTGCATAGCTCCAGTTCTGAAGAAAAGCAAAAAGAAAGAAGAATAATGAATGACATGTCTAGCTACTGACCACTTGGTGGAAGATGTAGAAGGCAACAGAAATAACAAACTTAGTCACATTTTGTATAATTAGATCAATTCTGAGGAACGATCCCAGAAACTGTGATGTCTCTAAAATCAGAACCTACAGGGCTCTGCACAGTGCCAGTACTGAGAAAGAAGCTGAGAAATCCAATCAGTGATATTTACTCTTTCCCCACTGTGAAGAAAACAAACACCAGAAAAGTCTTGAACTTTGGGCAATAGCTCATTCAGTAGCTGGGGCTGCATACCTAATGACTGTTTCAGCTGCTCTTCTCTGAACACAGCTGCTGATGGACACCAAATTTACGTGAGTCTTCTTCCCCAGTTTCAGAAGTGCTAACTATACCTAAAAAATGCTCTTCAACTAACTAACATAAAAAATGATCAATGCTAAACTTATTTAAAAACAAGGTTCAAGAAACTTCTGAATGTAAATTCAAAGGAAAGAGATACTAAATCTTCTTCTTCCTTCTGCCTAAAAATATATTTCTATGTTTAAGGCTTAAATTATCCTCCAGACCACAAGCCAACATAGCTCTGCCTTCTGTATTTTGCAGGCAATTTCAGTGCCTTCCAATATTGCAGTCTTCCATGAACTGAGTGGTTTTCTGCCTCAGCACTTTAGCTTGGATTAGGAGGTTGCTCTTGAAAATAATCTCCCAACCATTCCCCCTTACTGTGTTTTAGTTTGCTTACTAGAGCAAACTCTGTTTATTTTGGATAAGACTAAAATGTAAATGCATAAGGACTAGCCTGAAGATAAACCACAAAAGCACAGTACAGATGTTTGGTCCTAAGCTCCAGTACTGCCCTGCACGTCGCTCCTGTTTACTGTGCTATTTGCTAATGTGGATGCATCTCATGACTATTTCTGATTAAACTGAATCCCGATCAGACATGCACTGATGTACTGAAACTACTTATTTAAAGCTGGAGTGCCTTGAGGACTCTATGAAATACATATAAACTGATACACATATAAACAATTTGACACATCCTCGCTGTAATAGAGACTTCATTCCACTTATGGTGAGAAAATTGTTAGCATGGTTCTGCAGATAATCAGGGCAAGGGAGATGAAATGTGGAGAGGGGCCAGTAACAAGCCTTACTTTATTTACATATGAAAAAACTGAGCCCCAAAATTCATTTCAGAGCATGTAACCATATTGGTCTAGGTAGCAATTTTAGCACTTAAAAAAGGAAGACTTCACTTTAAAAGGAAAGGTAGAAATATGTATGTCTCTAGCAGCCACAGGCCTGTGTAGACCTTTTCCACAGTCACGGGTCTGCTGGTTTCAAATTCAGAGATACAGTTCAAGTCAACAAGGAAGAAGTAGCACTTAAAAGACTACTCTGCCCAGGATTGTAGTGTAATCTTTGACTACCATGCTTTATCTAGTGGGAAAGAAAGAGCAGTAAGACTTTTATCTGAGACTGATTTTTGTCTCACCCCATTCAAACCTCTGAACAGCAAAAGACTTCAGAAGTCTTTCTGCTATAATAAAGAAACTTATCCAAGCGTCATGCCTATTCTGGATCAATAAACATTCATGAAAGGCAGTACATACTTCTGTACCACTCAACTACCTGAAATTTTAGTTGTAGTATAAACTTGACCTCCATTCCTCATTATCTTCCAATATTCAGTACAATCATGAGTTATCTTTGAAAATAAGAATAGCTAAAAAAAGGAGGGATGGGCTGTTCTGTGACTTAATTCCTCACTAATATTTTACTCCTCCTCCATTATATTCAGATGTTGATAAGACAGCTAAGGATTTTACTCCGTATTGAGGGAGACATGAAAAATAAAAACATAGAAGAAAATCAGTTGTTGCGTCTAGATTCCAACAGTAGGAAATTTCTATTTAGTCGTCTTTAAACGCAATTTAAACCATTAGCCTTAAAGAACCAGAAAAGGTTGACTAAATGTTAGCTCTGGAACAGTTACAAATTATTTATATTCTGAAAGCAAAGCTTTTAAAATGGTGCTACAGTAATTCAGATAAGATTACATGTGAAAACTGATGTACAGTAATTGCACACAGAGGCACATGAATCATTAATATTTTAAATGTATTTAACAAGTAGAACAGATAGACAAGAGGAATGAAGAGTAGCACAGAAGTCTTCAAAAATAGGAGTTTTCAAAGGAAGTTCAAGTGTCATTAATGAAAGAATGTAAAGAAGCTACAATAATTGGCCTATAGCAATCTCAATTTCTTGAACACAGTGAAACAAACCAGACCGGAGAGCATTTTAAACTATCCTTTTGAAAGGGGACTATGAAAATACATTTGTAAAATACACTAAACGCGTCTCCTAGCTGGCTCTGTTGTAATTCATTCTTTGAGTAACTATTACTACAATCTATAACATTATTACAATTCTAACAGCTTTTTAAGATGGCTTTCCTGCATGGACAGAAATATGACTGTACAGAATCTGAGATTATGAGTTTGGTTTCTGGTTATAACTTATCTGCAGCTCCTTTTTTCCCCCAGCAACAACAGATTAAAGCATAGTTTGAAAGCTAGAGGCTTCTTCTCATTAAATAACAGTTTTCTAATGTCTTATAGACATGCAGAATCCTTGACTTACATTTAAAACAACAACAGCAAAAAAGGTGTTTCAAAAATGCACTTCAAGAAATCTTGAATGTTCCTTTTCCACCAAATGGAAAACAACTTATTTCAATTCTTTCAAATTAAGAAATCTGTTCAGTTAAAAACACATTCCATTATTTTCTCTTATAGGATGGATAAATCTGCCAAAAAGCATTTCTCATCATTAGGGTTTTCCATAATATATGTTATTTTTCCCCTTGTTTTAAATGACTGCTTGGTAGAAGATGTTATGGCGCTTGTGCCTGTCATCACTGATCACAGCTGTGATCTTGGTGACAAAACATAATGAAATGATTAATTCTGTAGCAAGTGCATTTTCCTTACATGAAAGCTCAGGAAAAAAAAAAAAAAAGTGGAAAAAATGCACACAATAACTTTGTTGGATAAAGCCAGCTTTAAAATAAATATAATTGAGGTTAAAATAAATTTAATTGAACCCATCCTCTGGATAAACATTTGGACATTGACCTTAACCTTTTGAGCAGCTGGTTAAATAGGGAAGATGGGAAGCAAATTTAAGTAGCTTAGGAATCTCCAGGATTTCTCCTTGAAATTTTCTCAGGATACCAGGATTTCTGGTTCAATGTCAGCAAATCATGACACCTGCCCTTTTATTTTACCACAGTATCACCTTCCATCTTGTTAGTAACCACATCATTTACAATTAGAATCTTTGCATTTTACCAAAAGAAATCTAGTCAATTGTTTGTGTATCCAGCAATTTCCAGAACAATGCTTACAACCAGATATCTGAGCAGTTACTCAAGATTGCTCATTTGCACTTACTTGATTAGAAAGGTTGAATTCTGTAAACAATGTGTGTGCAAGTCATATGATCTGAGATATCTGATGAAATTTGCAACTTCTGTGATAATCTGTTTCAAACACCTCAGTTACCAAATTAAACGTAATAGGAACTGAGTGCCCTAAAAAAGGTAATGTGCTTCATTTCTCTTTTTAAATGGAATACTAACATAACACTGCCTAGTACTTTGTGATATAACTGAATCATTTTAATTTTAACTTAATTTGGACATAGAGACTTACTCTGCCCACAGGGCTCATAGGATGAGCAGCATAATCTGATGTCAGATTATAGTTAGTTGCTTCACATATCACGCTTACAGGTCTCTCCTTCTTTTCTTCAGACGTCATTGCTGCAGCAGTCCTGAAAATAGAATATGTAATAGCACTAGAACATGCTGTGTATGCACACTGCTATTAAAAAGCACCCCCAGATGTAGCCTAATACAAGCTGCGTCCTACTTTTTCAATTTAAAAGCAGTTCACACTTCATTGTAAAGTTACCTGCACTGTGTTTTAATCTTAAATCTGTCACAGATGAATTTAAGATGTTTAAAATAGGATTTCTTTATTAGCTTATGTTGTTAGTGGGAAGGAAAAACACTTTGATATAGAAATAGGACGAAATGCTCTCCAAAGCCACATATGGCTTTGCCTCACTTCACAGAATCATAGAATGGTTTGGTTTGGAAGAGACCTTAAAGCCCATCCAGTTCCAAAACCTCTGCCATGGGCAGGGCTGCGATTCACCAGATCAAGTTGCCCAGGGCCCCATCTAACTTGGCCTTGAACACCTCCACAGATGGGGTACCCACAAGATTTTTGGACAGCCGTTGCAGTGCCTCACCACCCTCTGAGTCAATGACCCAGACTAAATCTCTTCTCTTTCAGAATACACGCATTTATGCAATTCCACATACTGTAATTCTGACAGTTGACACTGTAACATTTGTCACAGTGTAACAGGTGTTGCAGCAGTGGTGGTAAATAGGACACCTAACACCCAGCTACATATAGCATCTTAAAGTCAGGTATGACCACCATGCATATCATCTTTGCATTTTGTTGTGTAAGCCACAAAATTAATGCAAAGATAGCAATTACTGGGGAAAGGACTCAACAGGCTGACAAAATAACCAACAGCAGAAAAACTATCAGATAAAACAAAGTAAATTAAACATGCTTGATTGTGCCTATTGGAATCAAAAATGGATTCCTTGTTGGAAGTTTACTGGATTACAACATAATAAATACATTGTTTGCTAATACTATAGAATATCTGAAGCGACAAATGGAAATCCACACAGTTAGACAGAGTACATTTCGACTACATAACCACGTTGCATTATTCTTATTGCTTTTTTTCTATTAAAAAAAATAGTATCAAGTATTTAATATTATTTTCAATAAATTTAAACAAATGAAATTATATACATGGTAATTTGACTTGGAAAAAAAATAAACATCACAATTAGCAATCATGGAAGCTTATTTAAATGTTAGACACTTTTAAAACACCTATTTTGTAGCTACTTACTGTTCATTCACAACAAAAATACAGTTGTCCTGCGATGGCTGTCCCGTTACCGGATGTTTGCAGGTTACTTTTCGTTCATTATGACTGTAGAGGGGAGATAAGGAACAACTCTTAGGCATAAATTTTTTAGTTTTCCAACTCAGCCATATATAGCCACTACATCAAGTGTATCAAACCAGTAAAAATGAAGTCAGTCATTTAAAATCTTCAGCTGATGCAGATTAATATTCAGTGACTGCAACAGCACTATGTCACGCTCAAGGTCTGCTTTCGTCGATGACTAACCCAGCACACTGCTCCACTGCACCTCCCAGCACCAGGGAGCCTGTCAGCATAGGCCTTTGCTCTCACCAGTACACACCAAACCTGGCACGGTATCTTGTTCTCCTAAGCTGCAGCTTTTGCTAGATCACTGGATCACTAGATCTTGGAGCAGCTCCAAGAACATGAAAGAAATTGCCGAAATTCAATGGCTCTCAGCTGCTGCCACTCACGAAGGAAATGTTTTGACTTGAGCCATCCAGCCCAAGTGGGCACAGGAGCAAAGGGGAGAAGCAGTCCTGTTGTAACTGCCTGCAAGACATGCCTATCGGGTGACTCTTATATGCTGGTCCTGCTGCAGAACGGGGCTTTCCTGCAAGTTTCAAGGCCTCACAAGTCCCAGCCACGTCACGAGCAAGCATGAATGAAAGTGCAGAGCTGCCAGCTGGCAGAGCAACAGCTTAGGACACTGTGAGAAGTCGAGGCCTGAACTGCAACAACCCCTGGGAACAGCATTCCTCAGATGTAGGGGTGGAGCAGGGCAGGTGTGCTCATGAAATCTTCAGTGATCAAAAAGCACAGAAGCTGAAATCAGACTAGGAAAGGACAATGAGCACAGAATGAAGGTGTATTAATCAGGTATATTCAAGTTATTTGAAAACAAACTCACCTCACTTGTATTTTTAACACTTTATATAATCAAAAAAGTATTTACTACAAAGAGTGAAGTACAACAGTACTTCAGTACAACAGTACTACAACAGTAACTGAAAGCAGCACTGTAAATAATGAAAAAACAATAATTCCTTTTAAAATATTTACTTTTGCAAAGAATACAGGATACAGTTTGTAGGACCTTATATATTACTACGCCTTTTTTACCCCAAGCTCAGCCTTAAAAATATTTGTGGACAGGGAACAAACCTGGACAAAAAAAGTGTGCTTCAGTTGCAAGATAGCTGAAGAGGCACTAAAGGACAGGAGCTCTAAATGCCACATTTTCCCCAGCAGCTCCCTCTTTTACTGCCTGTTTGCCTAACCTTTTCAGCTTTCACAACTATGAAGCACAACTCATCTTGCAAATGTTATGCACTCTGCTCTTCCTGCTTCTTAAAACAACGGAGACTTCACAAGGCTATCTTTACGTTCCCCAAGCTCTTGAACATGCCTTTTGTTCATAATCATTTTACAGCTTTGGTGCATAACTTAATTACAAGTTATCTCCATTCAATAAACCCATAAAATATTCACACTTGTTCCATGAACAGCAGACATTTGGATAAATGTGCATAAACCTAAGGTGCAAGATTAGAAACATAACCCCATTCTTTAAACTCTCTGCCTCCCCGTGCTGAAATTAAGTGGAATTTTATAAACCTACAAACACCTAGCTGGGTAGACACGTTATGGAGCATAGCTAATGAACTAACAAATTCTGGTAAGTAATCTTTATTTTTTCAGTAAATTCAGCAGAATTCTCAGTTCAGCTTCCAAAGAAGCTGCTATAACAGAAGCTCATGTAGTACAGTAAGAGGAACAGAAGGAGACCACAGGAGTATGTTTGTACCATTCCTTATTGCCACGATCCCACAACTTTAAAATGAAAATGGCCCATATTGAAGAGAACTCAAAAATATTCCCAAGAAATGAACCGGATTTTCTTAAATTCTTTTCTTTTGACTTCCAAAAACTTAATTTTCATTCACTCAGGTGACTCAGAGGTGTCATATCCCAGGTGCTGTGGGAGTGAACCTGGTACATGCCTGCACAGGAACAGGCAGGATTCAACAACCCCATGGGCAGGTCATACAAAGCCAGGAGGGAAAACAGATAAGAGAAGGAGAAGGATAAACAGAAGAGAGGATGCAAAAACAGAAATCTATTCAGCAATGGTTATTTTTTTTTTCTACTCTCGAATCATATAATGAGTCAGTACTTCAGTAGTAACACAGTAGTTTGTTTTTGGACAAAATATGGTTTTCTGTACTGCTCAAACTGACTTTGGACGTACAGAAATGAAGCTGACATTGCATACGAACAAAAGGCAAGAAAAATCATAAAACACGAAACAATATCCAGTGAGGTATAACATTCCTTAAAGCATTTTAAAGATCCCTATAGTCACTTCTCTGCAGGTGAGACAAAGACAGAACAATCTTTTCTTTGTCTTCTGCTGAGATGGAAGTGAAATTTCGTAAGCTTGAAAAGAAGTGTGATTACTTTAATATGTCTTACTGGATGAACAGACTTTAAACACTTCAATTTAAAACTTGTTCATTACTCATCAGAAATGTTGCATTTTTGGCATTCACTTAGCAGATATTTTGACAAGACTTCTCAAGTTACTGGTGTAAAATATAGAGTATCTCGGTAATTGTTGTCATAACCCTCCTACCTAACAGTAGTTTTAGGCGTTTGTTTTAAACTAAATCTTGCAGACTACAGAAAATTTCATTAAAAGCCACCATTCAGTATTCACAATCTTTACCACATTCAGCTTGGACAGTTGTCCAAGAAATTTCATGCTGGGCCTACACCCAAAGCTGCATTATCTTGTCAATGGGTCACAGGGGAAATAAAGCAAAAATATTTTCTTTTACTGCAAATTTTATTTTCCATTTTATGCAAACTCCACTCTGCAATTCAGAATTTCAACTCCGCATATTTCTGTGTCTATGCCTTTATGATGTGACCAAGAGTGATTTACTTGGATAACGGCAGCCAGAAGACAGCATGCTAATTTTCTGCTGATGCAGGGATACAACCTCCAAGTTGTGTACGGATATAACATTCTTTTCTTCTTTCTTTCTCAGAACAGGTAAGGGTGGAAGAGACCTTTTGGTCGACCTGCTCAAGAAAAGGCACACAGAGCAGTGCTGCTCAGGATGAACTCCAGGAGGCTTCTGAAGATCTCCAAGGAGGGTAATTCCACAGATCTCCAATCAATTTCTGGTAACAACATGTGTTGAGAAAGCGGGGTAACTATATACACAAACAGCTGTGCTGATACCAAAGGATTTGACTGACCTTTACTATTTCAGCAACCGCAGACAGTTTGTATTAATGGCCTGCTACACACCATAAATTCCCTGTATATTTTATTAGTATTCATGAGCATAGATTCAATATTAACCATTAAAGTTTGCCACTGAGAAGCATTAAACTCCAGAAATGAACACTGCTGACTAAGATCACAGAATGGTTTGGCTTGGAAGGGACCTGAAAGCTCATCTAGTTCCAACCCCATGCTACAGGCAGGGCTGCCACCCAGCAGCTCAGGCTGCTCAGGGACCCATCCAACCTGGCCTTGAACGTCTCCAGGGATGGGGCATCCACAGCTTCTATGGGCAGCTGTGCCAGTGCCTCACCACTCTCTGAACAAAAAAATGTTTACTTCCTCAGAAAGGAAACAGTGGTTTGGTGTCTGGGTTATGCTGGGACTTTGAGGAAGTGTGCCCCATGCTGAAACACTGCAGCATTCCCTGGAGCAGATACATTTCTTCATTGAATGAAGGTGATGTGACAGAGAAGCAAGGTACATCACAGGTCTGGCACGCATCAAAATAATGCTCTGTTCTTGATTCCAGTAGTGGCCCTGACAGCGGCCAGTTGTAAAAGCATTTGAAATAAAGCAACCAACCAACCAAAAAAAAAAAAAAAAAGAAAGAAAGAAAAAAGAAAAAAAGAAAAAAAAAAAAATCCCAACTGTAATGAAATAGCTGAAAATGGAACATGTCTCTGAACAAGCTATCTCAGTGCAAGACAACCAAACAGGAAAATCTGACCTCCTTTTCTCTGGAATTTATTATATTCTTCTTCCAAAATCATTTCTCTGAACAACTGCAGGCTTTAGCAGGTATCTCAGCTTTGACACATGGACAAACCCTTAAAGAAAAATAACTTATCTTGTCCAGGTTAGAAGATGACCACAACCTTGAATTTGACTCATACTATTTGCTTTCTTACTCCACTCCTTCTTTCTCCTTTCCATTACTCAAGACACTCTCTTCAAGAAGATAGAAGACAGACACAAGACTATTTTACTTATTTTCACCAGTGCTAAACGTGTTTAAGAAATCTTGCTTAATCTACTCATGTACAGTTAACAGCAATCTTTTTGATGGCCAAAAGCGATACAAGGATGACTGAAAATGTACTCAAGTAGATCATTTAAATACATTATCCTATCCGTAGACAGAAAAATAATGTACAACTCCAGGGACCGCACTTTCTAACTGTTTGTTTTAGTTTTGCCTTGTTTTACAGAACTGCTGACACAGAAATGCTGTGTACCAATAGCACTGCGAAATCAGCAAACAGAAAATTTGATCCAGTTTTGTCATTTTGAAGTTGGTGTAATCTTTAAATGTATTGGGGCTTTTTGTCCGATTTTTTTTTTTTTTTTTTGGATAGGCAATCAACTCAGTTGACAGCAGTAGAAATAGAAAAAAATATATATAATCCAGCTGGTACAGAAAGGTCTATGCAATTAAATTGAAGAGTTAGACAGAATTAGATTGGAACAGAGCAATTCACTCTGAAGTGGCAAGGAAGAGCCAAGTACAGAGGTGAAGACACTCAGATTGGGGTCTCTCCATTGTATGATTTGGTTGAGCTCCCTATCCTCTCATGAAAATGGAGCAGGGGCCAGAACTCTTAAACACATCTGGTTTTCTCCCACTGAAATTAAAGCTAGATACCACTTCAAAGCTTCGCTCATGCCCTTTCTCTGTATACTTTATTTATGTGGTCCTAAAGTCCAAGGCCTTCTCATTTAGTCATTCTCAATGTGACCATCAAAGCAAAGGCTGACTTTTACTTCA